CTAGATGATTGGTTTCTGGCACCTTGTTTTGCTCTTTGGGTGAGGTCAGGGTTGCTTGGAAGTTCCTGATGATTATTGGAGTATGTCATCTTTGCATTGAAAGAATAGGTTTTGCTATCTGGCTTTATTTGTGTCTCTGCAGAAATTCTAAGCGGTCTATTCTGCTGCTGAGGTGAATTAACTGTCCAATGCTCCACCCAAAAGACACTGGTGATGCTGGTTGAAATGACTTTGCTCAATCACAACCAAGGAACTCTACTGGGCACTGAAGCAGATCTAGAGACTGCAGGCCCTTGCCTGAGGACAGGGACTGTTAGAATCTTCTCAATGCTCGATTTTATCAGACTGAGATCCAAAATAATTTGGTGAGTCCTTGCTTTTGCCTAAGGATGAAGGAAGTATGAAAGAGGCAGATCTTCATCTACAAGGTGGGTCACACTTGGGTCTCACAGTCACCAGACTCTGAGCAAATTTGGTACTGCACATCAAGTAAGAAGCTGGTGGTACAGGCCAAAACAAATCTGTCTCACCAGGCACAGGCCTCTGCCTGCTAGTGAGGCAATTCCAGAGAATGTCCACAGGCACTGGCCTAATGATAGAAATCTTCAGGATCTGTACATTGTTGGGCTTTATCAGCCCAGCACTGATTTTCAGTACAATCCCTTCCCTTAGTTTCTTGCTGTTGCTTCAAGGTTGGAGGAAGGTGAGGCAGGTAGTTCCTTAACTACCCAGACTAGCCCCCAGCCAGTCACACGTGAGTCCTCCAATCCCTGGGCCCCACAAAGCCCCTGCAGAGGTTTCTAGGCCTACCTGAGGCTGGCAGTGACACATGTCAAAATGAGTCCAATTCAGTCCAGAGGGTCATCCTGTGAGCACCAGCCTGGGGCTAGAGGTCTTTGGTGTGTATCAGGTGCTGGATCTGGGCACCCGGGCTAGCTCTGAGCTCCAAGGCAGGGTCCTTGGAAGACCCTAGCCTCTCTGCAGGGCTGGAGTTTCACTTTCTGCAGAAGTTTGGGAAAAGGGTAGCAGAGGCTACCTGGCTGTGAAAGCTACAAATACCTCACAGGTATGGGTCTAGGGGCAGGGACTGGTGGGCATAGCCTGACTGAATCTTTTTAGTGAGTCTGGCCCTGGATTGTTTGGTATGCTTCTCCCAATCCAGAGTCCATGATGTTCTTGTATCTGGGGGAGAAGTGAACCAGGCAGCTCCTTGCTTTCTTCAATGAAACTTTTCCTATGATTATAACAAGATAATGTACTGTGGTCTCTCCCCCAGCTTCCGTAGTTCTTGATTTAATGTGCACGGAGCAGTTCATGCTGGTGTCTCTGTGGGAGAGTGGTTGCTGGAGCCTCTTATTTACCTGCTATCTTGGCACAGCTGCCAAAATAATTTAAACACCCAACTTGGTTTCTTGTAGAAGATAGTAGTCTAGCACAACAAACTCATTAAGCAAGTGCTCCCAGGAGGAAACTGGTGAAGTTGTAGCATCAGCATGATCCTGCTGCGAGCTTAGATGGCAATTGTACATCTAAGTTCATCCCATTTCTGGGCAACAAACTTCTCTATGAAGCTGGACACTTGCCATTATTGCCCCTGAGATTGTGTGTGTGTGTGTGTGTGTGTGTGGTGCTGGTGGTGGGAGGGGAAGCGACGGGAAAGTGCCAGGATTTTCCTTCTCTGCTGTCGAGTGAAGAGGCTGCAGTAACCTCTAAAGCAGCACTGCACGTGAATGGAGAGATGGAGCAGTACAGCACTAAAATAAGGACTCCTGGGCTATCTGGACGGGGTTCTAAAGGTGTCCTAAATAATACACCTAGCCAACCTGGTATTATCAGTCGTTTAAGAATGCATTAGAAATCTGATTCTGGAAGAGATATTGTTTTTCCTATTCCTTCCACTAAGTGCAATTAAAAGCTCTGGATATTATGTAGAAAATAAAATCAAGTCTGAAAAGTGGAGAGGGGAAAATGGGCTGACTGGGAACAGTTACATAATGGTGAGTTCTCTGATTTTTTCTATCTGATATATCCCAGCCTGGGGACTGAAAACACCAGCAGCCCAGAAATACCAAAGGGCTTAGACAAAAGAAGTTTCCCCGGAACCTGGCTTTTTCTAGTGAAAGAATCAGGAAAGTAGTTAGATGCGAGAAAACCTCCTTTAGAGATTAACAAACAGCTCTACTGAAGAAGTGCAGCAGTTAGCCAGAGTTAAGCAGACAGGTCAGGGCAAGAGAGCTGGTGATGGCTGCCTGATGGGTGAAATCTATTGGAATGAGTGAGATAGCTAGGGTGGGGAAAGGAATGGAAAATGAGGACAATGACAGGAATTTGGAAATGCCTGTGGTGTCATTACCTTTTGGTTTATAGTAAGAATGACTTATCTTTAAAAGAAAAAATGTCTGTAACATTCCCTAGAGATTCTTGGGTACTTTCTATATTTTCTACCAAGTCCTAAAGATAATTCTAAGAACAATAAATGTTGAACACTTCTAAATATTAGAGATAAAAAGAATTGAGTAGAATTTCCATAGATAGGGAAATGTTTCAGCAGTTAGCATTAAGGGATCTCATGAAAGGATGGGGGAGTGGTCAACAGCACCAGATTCAGCCGGACAGCAAAGAGATTCAAGACTCAAAGGAAGTTCTTCCTCAAATGATAAAATGGATGACTGTGTTTGAAGACTTCTTAATGCTGTGAAACTACCAAAAGAAATTACCTCAGTAAATCTCAGTATATTATTCTATAGATCAAAAGGGGAGAAGATCAGAAAAATGATAGGTAAAAGAGGCAAAGAAATAACTTACAATAATGTTTAGAGCTGTCTGGACACCATGCCTGACAATCTTATTTAAAGGAAAATAGACATCAATGAAATTGACCATTTTTAAAAATAAGAGTACAAAATGTTATCCATCAGAAGGCAGGTATATCAAGTGCAAATCTAGACATAATTTATATAAAGTTAAGATTTTATTATAAAAATATTAAGAAAAGTCACAACCACAGCTTAATATTTACTACCATATAATTTTTCTCAGTTGACATTCTGGCATTTGTATCTTTTAATTTATTAGTTCTAGCACTAACTAGTAATTTCCCTTTAAATGTATAATTTTTATGATTTGGCAATAAATAGGGTATGAAAACATCTTTATTTTACAATGAAGTAGTAATATATGCTAATAGTCTATGAGTACATACATTCACAATCTAAAAAATTGACAGATGGACACTAAGAGAGCTCCTATCTGCTGGTTCACTTTTCAAATGTCTGCAATGGCCAAAGGGTTGAAACAGGGAGTCAGAAACTCAATCTACATCTCCCACATGGGTAGCAGAAGCCCAATTACTTGAATCATCACCAATGGATTCCAGTCTATAGCAGCAGGAAGCTGGAGTCAGGAGCTAGAACCAGGAATCAAACCCAGGTATTTCAATATGGGACATGAGCATCTCAACTGCAAGGTTAAATGGCACTCTTGCTTTCAGATTTTAAACTATCAACACTTCTATAAATATGGCAGGTATCAGAATTACTGAAATAAAACCAACCATATACACAGTCAACTAATTTTTGACAATGGCTTTAAGGAGACATAATGGGGAAAGTTAATGGTGCTTGAAAGCTGGATTTTTCATGTGAAAAAAACTAGAGTCTGACCTTACACCATTCCTTAGAGTCAACTCAGAATGGACATAAGAGCTAAATATAAGATGTGAAACCATAAAACTCCCAGAAGAAAACATAAGGGTCAAGATCCTTGACACTGGCATTGGCAATGACTTTTTGGATATCACACCAAAAGGTCAGGCAACAAAAGGAAAATAAATAAATAGGATCACATCAAATGAAAGAGTTCTGCAGAGAAGAGAAAATGGAAGCCCCTGGAAAGTAAGTGGCATGCTCAAAGATCTCCAAGTTCCATGTAGCAGTCAGAATTCCAATGGAAGGCTTCTGATGCCCTCATTTTTCCATAGTGCATTTGTTCTATTAGGATACCATGTCTCAGTTATCACTTCTGATTAGGCTTGATTTGAAAAAGCTATGTCTATCTGTTTCACAGAGAAGGTATTAGTAGCAAACCCTGGTTTGTGAAATGATGGGGAAAGGGATCAGGTATTTTGCCCTAAACCAAAGGCCATCAGTCCTTTTATCCACAGATCAAAAGGAGGAAAAACATTTGTTACTAGATTCTATGGCAACAGAAGCAAATTCTGACTATCCTTGAAAGGACTGAGATTTAAAGATAAGTAAAATGTTACTATAATCGTTAATCAAATACCTCTGATGTTAAGATTCTGTTCGAACAATATTATATTTACTTTTTCTGTTTCGAAGTAGAAACTGAAACAAAAGAGAGGCATTAAAATCATAATTTTACTTTGCAATAATTCTGTGACTAAAAGTGGTGGTATTTAAGTAACAAATATTATACATAGCTATTTTTAGTATTATATGATTTCATTTATGTGGTACAAACAAAAGGTTAACTTGTAGAAGTTAAAAGGATATTGGTGGTGGGGCGGATGTTGTGGTGCGTTGGTGCGTTTGCAATGATGCCTACATTCCATACAGGCTTGCTAGTTCGAGTCATGGCTACCATGTTTCTGACCCAACTTCCTGCTAATGCACCTAGGGAGGTAGGGGATAATGGCTCAAGTACTTCAGTCCTTGCTACCAATGTTGGACACCTGGATGGAGTTCCTGGCTCTTGACTTTGGCTTGGCCCAGCCCCTGCTGCTGCAGCCATTTGGGGAGTGAACCAGGGAGTAGAAGATCTCACTCTTCATCCATTACTCTGCCTTTTAAATAAATAAAACCTATAATGGTGGTTACCAGAGACTGCGGAGGGAATGGAGGAGAGAGTGTTGGATTGATTAGTGAGTACTAAGTTATAGCTAAATAGAAGAAAGAAGCTCTAGGGTTCTGTTGCATAGTAAGGTGACTACAGATGTTAATGCACTGCATACTTATCTACTAAAAAAATCTAGAAGACAGGATTTTGAACATTTTTATAATAAAGAAATGTCAAATGTTTGAGGAATGTTTGAGGAAGTATGTATCTTTACCCTGATTTGACATTATACAATATACACATGAAATAGTACGTTGTACACCATAGCTATGTACAATTATTGCATCTATTTAAAAAAATTTAAGCCATCTATGTTTATAAAATAGGTTTCCCTAAATTATAGAGAAATGAAATCTTGCTATTCTGGATGACTGATACACTCACCAGATACTCCTATAAAGAGTAGCTTTATAAAACCTATTAGAAGTATTCTTCTACCAAGACACTTCAAAACAAATCTTAGTAATCTTCAGGGAAGATAGTGACATTGATTCCTGGATCGTCAGCATCATCATTTTCAAGTTCTTTGTCACAGTCTTCAGTAATACGTTTGTAATGTGATTTTTCTTGGTTTCTTTTTTTCTTGTGAGTATCAAATGGGTCTTTGATCTCAGTCTGTGAGTTAGTAATAGTTTCCCTTTTCAAAGCATGTTGTAGGCAGCTGTAAAACCTGTCAAGAAAGAAGCACTACTGTTACAGCTGTGTTCTGAAACCAAATGACGGACATGCACTTAGAACTTGTAAATCATGTAAATTTGACAATGTTTCATATTAGCCTTATAAATACATAATATATTGAAGAAATAATATGTATCTTGCCCTCATCACTGTATCTGGTAGGGTCGTCAGAGGATGAAAGATGACATATGTAAGTCCTTTGCAGTTACTGGCACAGTAGTGACAATAATGCACAATAATGACCATTTTTCTACAAGATAGATATCATTGAGTCAATGACTCTATCCACTTGTTTTCTGTTATATTCTTAGCATGTAGTATAGTGCTCTATCTATCAGTCACTAAGAATATGCTCAATGAGAAATAACTACTGAATAAAGAAATAACTATGGATGCATTCTACTAGGTGCCAAGTTAGAATAATCTGGAAGTTGAGAACTCCCTTGTCATTTTAGGGATTTACCTTGCTTGTTTGCCCTATTATACTGGGAGACTATGACAGAGAATTTTAAAATTATTTATCTATTTATTTGGAAGGGGAGATCCCATCCTCTGGTTCCCTATATACCCCAAATGGCCAACTGGGTGGGGGTGGGAACAAAGTCAAGAGCTGAGAACTCAACCCAGGTCTCCCACTTGGGTGGCAGGAGCCCAATCACTTGAGCCATCATTACTGCCTCCCAGGGTCTGCATTAGCAGGAAGCTGGAGTCAAGAATCAAACCCAGGCACTCTGATGTAGAATGTAGGCATCTTAATCACTAGCCTAAATGCCTGCTCCTGATAGGAAATATTTTATCTACAGAATAGATTGCTATTTAGAACAATTTTCATCCTTCTTTAATTCAATGAGGAGGCTAAATTCCACCTGTAAAGGCTCTAAAATTCCAAAAGTTCACCTGTTCCCAAAAACTCCACACAACTCTAATACATACACAACACGATTACCACATATACCCATATTTCAAGAACATATTGACTCACCACTGTATACCTTGATATCCAGTGCCTTGCCTGACATACAAAAGGTGCTCAATAACTATTTCATCAATGAATAAATCACTCTCAAAAAATGAAGTACAGTGAAAGGAAAAAGACTGAGAAACATTAACATTTAACTTTTGGAGCCTTGATTGGTGATAACAACTTCCCATTTAATGTACTCTTTATATCCTTACCTGACTGAAACTTGACTTCCCTGCAGACATCTGCCTTCATTCTTCTCAGGTCGGGGCTGCTTATTCTTTTCATAGCCTGTCTATCCAAGAGGTGAGTTCCACTGGCTCATCAACACTTTGCCAGGCGACCTTTGTTTTTCTGTCCCTCATATTCCACCTACCAATATATTCTGCTCAGGCCCTTAGGTTCATGAGGAATGTTACACCTGGCCTGATCTTTTTTTCCTAGGTCTTATCACCATTTTAAGTAGCTTCAATTCCTGGTTTTCTTCTCATGTTCCATATTGTCTGTTCAGAATAATCTAATAGAATGACCCATTTCAATCTCAAACACAAATCTGAGTATTCCGATGGTATAAATCAACCTTTTCTTATCAGGTGGTGCTATCCATGACAGGCAACCTATTCTGCCATTTTTTAAAAAAGATTTATTTATTTATCTGAAAGGCAGAGTTACAGAGAGGCAGAGGCAGAGAGAGAGAAGTCTCCTATCTGCTGGTTCTCTCCCCAAATGGCCGCAATGGCCAGAGCTGGGTCAATCCGAAGCCAGGAGCTTGGAGCATCCTCCAGGTCTCCCACGGAGGTGCAGGGGCCCAAGGACTTGGACCATCTTTTACTGTCTTCCCAGACCATAACAGAGAGCTGGATTGGAAGTAGAGCAGCCGGGACTAGAACTGGCACCCATATGGGATGCCAGCACTGCAGGCAGCGGCTTCACCTGCTATGCCACAGTGCCAGCCCCTCTTCTGCCATTTTTGCCACTGTGCACTTTATGCTTATGTAACTTAGTCTTGTTTCTGAATTATGTTTTATCTTAGGAAGTGAAAGATAAGATTAAGTTGTTCATTTATCATCACAGAGAATTAACAGCTTGAATAAAATGACTTGAACAGATATGTTACTTTAATCTTCCATTAAAGAACCTAAGAATTCAAAACTACATCCTCTACATCCTTAGGGTATCAAAAAACAACAGATAAAATGGAACAAAGATTCTTTCTTGCTGAAAGTCAAGAATAAAAATTTCAAATACTAGTTTTCTTTCTTTCCTCTTTTTAAAAGAGAACTTTCAAAGTCCTTTGAAAAACCATTTTAACAAATCAAAAATTTGTTTTCCAATAATATGTTCTCCCTTTATACTATGACCCTCTCTACACATTCTAAAGCCCAATTCTCAAAATGTAATTTTCACAGCTTTCAAAGACAACAAAAAGAACTCTGAGTATTTGAGTATGAAACAAATGTATGCTCAGGTAATTGGATTTTTTTTCCTCTCCCTTGAAATGAAACCAAATTGTCTTCCATTTCTCCATCACTGCAATCAAGATTATAACACCATAGGACAACTTATATTTAGTTCTCTTTACAAAGGAGAATTCTTCAGGCCAGCCCTGAGAAATTGAAATCTTGTTTTTCAAGGTCAGTTAGAGAGCTACTTGCAATAAAAACTGGAACTTCTTTGGCTTCTGAAACAGGAATATAGAACTCAGGAAATCTAGGCACAACTTCACACACTTCTAGGTTTTCAACATTTACAAATATTGAAGATTCTGATATATCATGAATTTGAACTTTAACTGATTAAGCTATAGCATGTTTTATTTTAAAAACACACACACACAAATATATGTCACAGGGCCTGTGCCAGGTACTGGAAACAGGTAGAAGATGTGGTCTGTGGCCTGTGCCCTCAAGAAGCTTATGGCTTAAGAGGAGCTGTAGAGCCATAAAGCCATTTTTAACAGGTGTGAAAAAAAGAACACAGAACAAAAAGAGGGAGCACACTTAGGGCACACTGCTGCAACTGAGATCCTGAAATCCTCCTCAGAAAAACATCTGATGCCTGAGCTGAATGACAAGGATAATAGAAGCTGGCCATGTGTTAAGAGGGGAATTATGACTACTCCCCACAACAAAATGAGGCAAGGGGTGGAAGGTGTGAGTAGTGGCTACCCAAAGAGAAACTATCAAAAGATAAAATATGTTTTCACTTTATATTATTGACTTCTTTGATCTTATGTATATAGGGAATGTGAGTTATTTATTTAACTTCTTTAGTTCCCTTTATAGAAAAGATATGATTAGTAACTCTGAGGAGTCTGACATCTGTTATCCTTTACCACTCCTTCTCTGAATTACTGCCATTTTTAATCTGTCGCCATGCTGGGTGGGTAGTCTACAGTTATTATTCCATTCATCTTTATTTTTTTTTATTGACAGGCAGAATTAGACAGTGAGAGAGAGAGAGACAGAGAAAGGTCTTCCTTCTGTTGGTTCACCCCCCTAATGGCCGCTACAGCTGGTGCGCTGCGGCCGGCGCGCCACACCGATCTGAAGCCAGGAGCCTGGTGCTTCCTCCTGGTCTCCCATGGGGTGCAGGGCCCAAGCACTTGGGCCATCCTCCACTGCCTTCCTGGGCCACAGCAGAGAGCTGGACTGGAAGAGGAGCAACCGGGATAGAATCCAGCGCTCCAACCGGGACTAGAACCTGGGGTACCAGCGCCACAGGCGGAGGATTAGCCAAGTGAGCAGTGGCACTGGCTCCATTCATCTTGATACTCATGGACCTGTAACTTTTTACCTAGACTGTAGCAAGAGTTTCCTCCTGCTCCCTGAATAATCTTACATGTGTTTAGAATAGTCATCTTAATGCTCTGAAGCTTTCTAAGTAGCATGATTATGGAAAAAAATCAGTCAATAGATCCAATAAACATTTGTTAACTGGTATTCTCATGCAAGAAACTCAGAATACAATGATGAATATGAAACTGTCTTGGCCTTTGGGGAACTCAATATAATGTTTTAAGTTTCAAGTTCCTTTATCGTTTATGATTAACTCAAAAAAACATTATTGGACTTCTAATAGGAGCTAGACACTGTTTTAGGATAAGAGATATTTCGTGTGTATCTGTGTGTGGCAGGGGCATTAGGTACAGGGAGAAGTCCTATCTTCTATATGCTATGTTGTAATGGGCAAAAATAAACATACCTGCCATTAAGCAATTGTCATCTCTGTTTTAACTCTGAGACTTATATTGTAATGATAGAAAATGGAGTTAAGAATGTGAACCAAGGAATTGGCTGTGCTGTTCAAACCAGGATAAGAATATTAACAAAAGGCTGCAGGGATATTTTAATTAAATATGTTCAATAGGTTATTGGATATGCGGGCCCAGAAGTCTAGAGAGATTTGGAAAACTTCCCAGAATAAATGAAGCAGCTGAAGCCATGGGCCAGGGACAGAATCTTGAACAACAGTATCTAATGAGAAGGTGAGATAAGAGAAATCAACAACAAAACTAGAAAGGAGTACCATAAACATGAAGGAACACTGCAAAGAGATGTAACTGTAATTCTTGCTCCTCTTATCTTTTAGGTAAATCAAAACATTTCCTTATCCCTATTTATGGCTTACATGTGGTCACTTATTTTTCTCTGTTCATCCTATTCCTTCTACCCACCAACCAATTCCTCCTTTTCCCAGGGTTCTTCTTTTAAGAAACCTGCCTTCCTTTAAGGCACAGTTCACTGATCTCTTCCAAGAAGCTTTCTTGGATTACACTCCCTCTGCTCAAATGAACTTTACTTCCTCTTTTGAAATCCTATTTTATACCACTCTTACAATACTTGCTATTTTCCATGTTGAATTATAATTATTTATGTGCCTGCCTGAACTCCCAGTTATGCTACATAAGAGCTGTCCCAGAAGGATCCATGTCAGATTCATCTTGAATTCTAGTGCCTTATGGTAGGTTTCTATTGAAGTATTTATTGAAAGAATAAACACTCATTCATCCTCATCCTATCTATCACTTCTATGATGGATTAAAGACTATTCTGGAAATACCTGGTATCCCTGCTGCCAAGATACAAGTACTATATAACCTGGGAAAGACTGAGAACAGACCTGGGCTGGGTTCCACGTAGAGTTCACATGTAACTTGGAAAGCAGTTGCGGGGGAAAAAAAGTGACAAAAAAGATTCATCAGCCTTTAACTGAGTCATTTACTCATTAGATTAAAAATTCAACCATTGGTTACTCAAAATAAGTCAAAATAACCTAAATAAATATAAGAACTGAAATTATAAAACTCTTAGAAGAAAAAATAGGGGATATGATTCATTATACTAAATTCAGCCATGATTTCTTGGATATAACACCAAAAGCAATAACAAGAAAAATAAATTGGACTTCATCAAATATAAAACTTTTTTGCACAAAAGGATACTATAAGAGAGTGAAAAGGCATTACACAGAGTGAGGAAAATATTTGCAACTCATATACCTGATAAGAGATTAATATCTATAGTCTATAAAAAATATAACAAAAAAAACAATCAAATGTTAAAATGATCAAAGGACTTGAATAGCTATTTCTCCAAATAAAGGAGATAGATGGCCAATAAACACATGAAATGATTCTAAACATCACATCATTGCAGAAATACAAAGCAAGACAACAGTGAAATTCCACTTCACACCTTTTAGGATGGTTATCACTAAAAAAAGAAAAAGATAAAGTATTAGCCAGGATGCGGTTCCATTTTCTTTATGTTGGGAATACAAAATGGTGAAGCTGCTATACAAACCTATATTGTGATGCTTAAAAAAGTAAACATAGAATTACTATACAACCCAGCAGTTCCACAAAAAGAACTGGAAACGGACTTGGAAGTGTGTATACCAATGTTGAGAATGTTGAGAATAGTGTAATTCACAACCCAAATATCCACGGGCAAATAAGCAAAATGCAGCTTACGAATATAATGGAGTACTTATTCAAAGAGAAATGAGATTCTGATGCATGCTACAGCATAGATGAGCCTTGAAAACATTAGCTAAGTGAAATAAGACAACACAAAAGAACAAATAAATATTCTATGTTTCTCATACTAGTCAAATTCATAGAAACTTAAAACTGTGTTTACCAGGGACTGAGAGTATGGCTAATGGGAGTTGTTTAATGAGTTCTAAATTTCAGTTTTGGATGATGAAAAAGTATTGGGGATGGGCAGAGAGAATGCTATATAGCAATGTGAATGTACTTAGTGCCATTAGTTAAAATGTAAATTTCATGTTTTATTCTTATATATTTTACCACACACACACACACACACAAATCTTAAAAAAATCAACCATTGGAAATACAGTCAATTACTTTTTATTTCGGATTTGCTTTGTTCTTAACAACATTATATGCCAATATAGTCAGCCCTTTTATTTTACATTTTATTTAAAATCTTCTTGTTACACAGTTGATGAGAAGACGAACATGGCTAATTTCATTCTACTCACAGCCAAATGGTGGTTTCATGTGATCTATGCACCGAGCTCTTACTAACAGATACAAAGAAAACTTTCCTCTTGTAGTTAGTAAACAGATCTGCAGACTTCATGGTTTTCACCTGCAAATCGTTATGTATGAAATTATCTGACTATGTCTGGTGTCAGTTCCTGTCTCTTCCATTCTCCAAATCAGCTGTTTATAAAGCAGGCTGCTACTTGCAGGCCTTGTCTTGCCTAGCTCCAGAAACCACAGAAACGTAACTGTTCTTGAGTTCCACTAAGAAGGGGGCTTGGGAATTTTTTTTTTTAACAAATAAGACCTTTTGCTGTTAAAATGATTTTACTTCTTATTTTTCAAGTTTCTAGAATATTTCTTATTGCTAAAGTGTTACTGCGTAGGGTTTTTTGTGCTTTAAAAATTTTCTAACATATTCAAATTATAAAACTTTGGTCCTATGACAAAACAGTTTTTGTACCCAATGTCTGATTGCACCTCCAGCATTTATTTTTTTCTCTTTTCAACATCAGAAGAGTAACACTTTCTGTGCATTTGGTTGAATGTACAGCTGTTCCCAAAGGAGCTCCCTAATTTGTTCACACTTTCTGAATTCACATGTAATCTTCTAATCAGTATCTTAAGACAGTTTTTACCCTTCTTTAATTTTTCCCTGATTTTATATGATGAGCATGGCTCTCTTGATAGCAGCATGCACACTATAATCTCAAAGCATATTTTTCAGTCAATGGATTTAAAACATAATTTGATTTTATAGTTGGTGAACGTGGCTCAATTAACTTCACCAGGTGTATAGTTAGTTGATCTTGGGCTATATTTATAATCTTGTTGAAATTCAAGTAAGGAAACAGAAAAAACTGATTTGCTACTTCCAGTGTTTTAGCAAACAGTCTCACTGGATTACTATTTAATGGAGTAAGCTTTTGGAAAGGTACAATGAGTGCCTACATAGGGTTTAACTCTAGTCTGGCAGAGTGTAGAGGTACACTTGCGTTGCTTACCTGAAGTCATCACTTTAGTTAAAATGTTTGCTTAAAGCACTTTATGGCCAGGTTTTGTGTCAGTTTTTCTCAACCAGAGTTCAGCTAGAAAATTAAGTTCTAGTGTCCTAAGACATCCATTATATGTATTGGATTAATTTCTCTTGTATTTAAATGGTATGTGCTGCAGCTGGCAGTGTGCTATAGCAGGCAGAGGTGTCATCTGCGACACCAGCATCCCATATGGGTGCTGCTTTGCATCCTGGCTACTCCACTTCCAACCCAGGCCCCTGCTAGTAGCCTGGGAAAAGCAGAAGAGGATGACCAGTGTGCTTGGGCCCCTGCTACCCACATGGAAGACCCAGAGGAAGCTCCTGGCTTCCTCCCAGTGACTGCAGCCACCTGGGGATTGAACCAGCAGATGGAAGATCTCTCTCTCTCTCTCTCTCTCTCTTGCTCTCTCAGTCTGTCTCTACCTCTCTCTAACTCTGACTTTCAAATAAATAAATAAAAAAGGTGTGATTGGTTAGATAGTATCTCCTCATTTGTTAAAGAAAAAGGAGGGAGGTACCAGTTATACACTATCCTTAGGATTGAGAAAATAGTCACTTGAAAAATTTGTGACTTTTATGGTTCAAATGAGGAGCCTGGTTGAGAAAGCCTAGATGGTAATACTGAAATAGGTATAGGTTTATTATTCTGTGAGTAAATGGAGAAGGATAAGGCCTATCCTATCCTGAGAGTCCATTTATAACAAGGAGGACCAGTCATTATACAGATGACATAAAATGACTATAATACAAATAATTATTCTTTAAGATGGATATTTCCCTCAAGTAAAGATAGGAAAAATAAAGCCAAGACAGTTGAGTAACTTGGTGGAACTAGGATGAAAAATTTGGTAGAACAAGGATTTGAATGCAGTTCTGCCTTTGAAGGCTAGTTCTATTGCTTTTCCGCATGCTACACCACTATCATTGGTGCTTCCGGCCTTAGCTGCTTCAAGAAGGTAATGAAGAATTTTAAGCAGGCAACAGGACTCCTTTGTACTTCACTGACATGATTCTGATTAGGATATGGACAATCGCTTAGCAGAGAGACATAATAGGAGCATTCTACTTGATAAAGCCTGTTAGTGAGGTTATTGAAATGGCCCTGAATAGAAAAAGTAGCAGTCAGGATGGAAACAACACTGAAGAGATATTTAACAATAATTGACTCGATGTGAGACAATCAAGGGGGTAGGGAAGAAGTAAAGAATAAATTACAAATAACATCAAATTGGTCTCACTCATTTAATAACTAAGAAATGTACAACTTGCTGATGTAATCAGTAGCATTCTCTTTATGAAAGGCAACAAAATATTTTCTTCTTTATATAAAAACTCAAGAAAATGTTGGGGAAAAAGTAAGAGTTTCTTCTGGAAAGTGAAGTTTAAAAACAAGATGAGTATAAACATGAATTGATAGATATAGTCCTTTCTATTTGGACAATTATGTCAATTCTAGATCTAATCTATGGTAAGAGTTGGGTATTGAAGTAACTAGAGGGGCCGGCACTGTGGCCAAGTGGGTTAACGCCCTGGCCTGAAACGACAGCATCCCATATGGGCACCAGTTCTAGTCCTGGCTGCTCCACTTCCCATCCAGCTCTCTGCTATAGCCTGGGAAAGCAATAGAAGATGGCCCAAGTCCTTGGGCCCCTACACCCACGTGGGAGACCTGGAGGAAGCTCCTGGCTCCTGGCTTCGGATTGGTGCAGCTCCAGCCGTTGCGGCCAATTGGGGAGTGGATCAGTGGATGGAAGACCTCTCTCTCTGTCTCTACCTCTCTCTGTAACTGTCTTTCAAATAAATAAATCTTTCATAAAAAAAAAAAAAAAAAAAGAAGTAACTAGAGGTATAAAACCTGTATCAAACTAAAATTAACTAAGCTGCATTTCTCAAAGGGAGACTCCATGCAGTTAACTGGTAGATCACATCCAGTGGCAGCATGCACCTCTTCCCTAGCTGTCCTCAACCTGATCAGTTATGGTTCCTGTGGTTGTTGGGCTCCTTCCCCTGTGAAATTAAGTTTCTCTCCTTGGGGTGTGTTTCTGGCAGCCATGTGACCACCATCCCCCAGAATGCTCAATTTAGTGCCCATTATAATCTTGCCTATTCTCTTCTGTTACCATGATCATCTTTTTACTATTCACAATAAAGCTGTAAGTAGATAATCAGTTGAGATTAGAAATTAAAGATGGTATGTACTAATATTTTCAAGGATGACTTAGGCATATAAAAATAACATGAAATATCCATTTAATATACCTTTCAATTCTTTTCTTATTTTCCTCCATTTTCTGATTTGCTATATTTAACAGGAAGTCAACATATTCCTCTGTCACCATCAGTTTCCCATTATGGCTTAATGGAACTTCTAAGCCATGTGTGCTCCGGACAGCCTATAAGGAAAGAGCAATTTAGATATTTAGACTTATACATGGAGACACTGGAGATAATTCAAGAAAAGTCTCAGTTATGGCTATGTTTGAACATAGTTTAGCTTCGCGTGAGCTTGTGCTTTGATATAATTTAGCTGAACACAGTTGAAACAAAGGTGATTTAAATAGATTTTCCCATCATACCAGTAATTCTAAAGAAAACACCATACATATTATCTTTCAGAAAAGCAGATACTATCAAAGAATCCTATAACCTTTAACAGTTTCATTCTCACTATAGCTTGGAAAGTTTTAATGCACAATTTAAAGAAAATAAATAAATAAAATCTCAAAACAAGCCTCAAGGGAAAACTAAAAGGGATTGGATGCCAAAAAGTCTCTTAACACTGCTTGAACTAAGTATGGGTATTTCTAGCCACACAGTGTAAAGTAAACCATGCCTCCTCTATCACACATGGTGGCTGATTTTTGCATGCTTTCTGGTTACCAGTCTTCTTAATCCTGATGATGAAACAAACACTCAAACACTGGGTCTACAACAATAGCAACATGCTATGAAAACTGTTATGAAGAATAGGAATTCATTCAATGAATCTTACCAAATATCTATAATGTTCTAGGCCCCATGTAAGGTATAAACATACAAGGAGACTGTAACATGATTGCTGCCTTTAAAAGCTCATACTTCAGAGCAGGAAATAAAGAGGTGAACAAAGGATTATTATACAACCTAGGTGTTATGACAGAAGAAACATACATGCAAGTACAGGCATGCATGCACGCATGCATGTACATACACACACACACACAATGCTAGCAATGTATGGAACAAAAGCAATATTTGAATTAGGACTTAGCTTTCTGGGGGAGGCAGCAGTTAAAATTTGGGATTTTAAAGGAAAAGTGCAATCTTACCAGACACAAAAATAAGCAAGGGGATATTCCAGTATAGGAACAACTTATTTGTTTTTTTTTAAAGATTTATTTTATTTATTTGAAGGACAGAGTTACACAGAGAGGTAGGGACAGAGAGAGAGGGATCCACTGGTTCACTCCCCCAGATGGCTGCAACAGCCGGAGCTGCGCCGATCTGAAGCCAGGAGCCAGGAGCTTCTTCCCGGTCTCCCATGTGGGTGCAGGTGCCCAAGGACGTGGGCCATCTTCTGCTTTCCCAGGCCATAGCAGAGAGCTGGACAGGAAGAGGAGCAGCCGGGACTAGAACCAGCACCCATATGGGATGCCAGAGCTTCAGGCCAGGGCGTTAACCCTGCTGCGCCACAGTGCCGGCCCTGGAACAACTTATTTGTAAGTACAGGGTCATGAAGGAAAATGATACATTTGAAGACAACTAGCAGTTCTCTATGGCTAAAACACTGGGAAATGAACATAAATAGGTAGATGCAAAATAGTTTGGAGATGGCCATGAATATTAAGGACAACATCTGGAGACCTTGATGTTTTAAAAAGAGGGTGCTAACAATATTGGTTGGAGGGACTGATGGAGAAGACCTGTAGTGGAAGACCAGTCAGGAGACAAGTGTAAAGATAAAGGTAAGGGATTATGAGGGCTAAGCAGAGGGCCTGAGGTGCAGTCAGGCGTCAGAGAGACAAAATGTTCAGCCCTATAACCAACTGAATATGTGAGAAAGAGGAGGGTGAAAGAATGGCTCTGTTCTTGCCTGAGCCACTAAATGCATCATGGAGTGAAGTGAGGACACAAACCAGTACTGTGAGCTTTGACTTTTTTTTTTTTAAAGACTTATTTATTTATTTGAAAGTCAGAGTTACACAGAGAGAGACGGAGAGGCAGGGAGAGAGAAAGAGAGGTCTTCCATCCACTGTTCACTCCTCAACTGGTCACAATCGCTGGAGCTGTGCAGATCCGAAGCCAGGAGCCAGGAGTTTCTTCTGGGTCTCCCACATGGGTGCAGGGGCCCAAGGACTTGGGTCAGCTTCTACTGCTTTCCCAGGTCATCCATAGCAGAGAGCTGGGTCGGAACTGGAGCAGCTGGGACTCAAACTGGCACCCATATGGGATGCTGCCACTGCAGATGGCACCAGCCTGAGCTTTGGCTTTCTATTTGACTGGTTTTGGTGTCTTCTTTTGTAAGCCACCTCTATATGCAAAACAGGCTTTTTGTTAAAAATGGAATACATGGAGTTGCTGTTTGGAGCACTGATTAAAGTTGCCACTTGGGACACCTGTATCCAATATTGGAGTTCCTGGTTTAAGTCCTAGCTCCTCTGCTTTGGATCAAGTTTGCTACTAACAGGCATCCTGGGAGGCAGCAGATGATGGCTCGAGAACTCGGATCCCTTGTTACCTACGTGGGAGACCCAGATTGAGTTCCAGCCTCCTAGCTTTGGCCTGACCTGGTTGTTGTAGTTTCCAGTAGATGGAAAAGCTATCCCTCTGCCTTTCAGATAAGAGGAGGAGGAGGAAGAGGAGTAAGAAGAAGAGAAGCTCAGAAAGGGGAACCAGAAGAGGGAAAGGAAGTGGGAGAGAGAGGAGGAAGTCAAAGAGAAGGAGGAGCAGAAAAAAAAATAGGAGAGTCTAGGGAGCTAGAATAGAGGGCAATTTGAAATAGTTCAAAGATAAACAATACATGTCACTTCAAACAGTAGATACCAGACATCAGACAAAGCAATATAACTAAGGGTTAGCTTGACCAAGAAATTACTCAAAGAGAATGTGGGACTTAGAAGGGACCTTAAAGTTCATCTAGTCCAGGGATTGGAAGTTTTTTATATAGACAATATAGTATCTTTCACAACTACTCGATGTTGTCACTGTGTGGCACAGAAGCAACCTTAGCTAATAATTAATCAGTGGGTATAGTGGGATATGGCTCCCTGTGGCCTGGACTTGACCTTCAGATGGAATTTGCTGGGCCCTTGACAGGGGTGAGAAAATTCCCATGTTGAGGAATTAAGGAATCATCTCAAGTTCAAATAGCACAGCTGTGGTTCAGGGATATCAATACAAAGATTTAGACTCCCTGTCTATGACTGTTTCCCTTACGTCATGGTGCTCAATAAACTGGGTCTTGATAACTCAGGGTGAGCAGGGCACACAGTCAAGAGTTAAGTTATAATCAAGTGGAGGGGCACACGTTTGGCCTAGTGGTTAAATCACTGGTTACAAGGCCCATATCCTACCTCAGTGTGGTTGGGTTTGATACCTGCTTCCCACTCCTGACTCCAGCTTTCTGCTAATGCAGATCCTGGGAGAGTGATGATGGCTCAAGTGATTCAATTTCTGGCATTCATATGGGAGACCTGGATTGAGTTCCTAGTGCCCAACTTCAGCCCCAGCTGGAGACTATTTCAGGCATCTGGGGAGTGAAGCAGAGGATGGAAGCACATACTTTATCTCTTTTTTTCTCTCTGACTCTAAAATAAGTAAAAATTGAAAGTAAGTGGAAGGGCCTGCACTGTAACACAGCAGGTTAACGCCCTGGCCTGAAGCATCGGCATCCCGTATGAGTGCCGGTTGAGACCCAGCTACTCCACTTCCAATCCAGCTCTCTGCTATAGCCTGGGAAAGCAGTGGAAGATGGTCCAAGTCCTTGGGCCCCTGCATCCGCCTGGGAGACCCGGAAGAAGCTCCTGGTTTCTGGCTTCGGATTGGCGCAGCTCTGGCCATTGCGGCCAATTGGGGAGTGAACCATCAGATGCAAGATCTTGATCTCTCTCTCTCTCTCTCCCTCTTCTCTCTCTGTGTAACTCTGATTTTCAAATAAATAAATAAATCTTTAAAAAAAAAGTGCTGTACATTGTGATTTAATGCTATAACTAGTACTCAAACAGTATTTTTCACTTTGTGTTTCTATGTGGTTGCAAACTGTTGAAATCTTTACTTAATATATGCTAAACTGATCTTCTGTATATAAAGAGAATTGAAAATGAATCGATGTGAATGGAAGGGGGGAGGGAGAGGGAAAGGGGAGGGTTGCAGGTGGGAGGGAAGTTATGGAGGAGGGGGGAAGCCATTGTAATCCATAAGCTGTACTTTGGAAATTTATATTCATTAAATAAAAGTTAAAAAAAATAGGAAAAAAAAAAAAGAAAGTGGAGGAGGGCATTATAAATTAACAACTCCAATAAATCTAAACTCTAGACAGTGTCCTATGGAAGGTGGATGTCACTGAATGTTTTTGAACAAGGGAATGGCAAGATTGGTATAAGGAGACACTAATGGCAGTGTCTAAATAGAAGGTCATTCAATAACCTGGATCACTTCACACTCAGAGGACCACTTTTTGGCAACATGTATCTTACCAATATAGTCTTCCCTCTCTTTCCCACTGTTATGCCAGAGTTCCTGAAACCAGAATTGATTGCCACTGCATGCTGTAAGAAAATAAACTCGTTAAGTTCATGTACTCTAGCTAAGAAGATCATCTGTTTAATCTGAAGAAACATACACAACACCAAAATCTATTAAGGATATTTGGGTAACCAATATGGACTACACTTAAAAGTCCTATTAGAATTCGCATTAGACATTGAAATATCAACTTTGGAAGTGTCACTGAGAAAGGTTAAAATTAAAATGCAATAAAACACAGAGGCATTTGGCTAGAGATTATTTCTAAAAGCAGAAAATAACCAAAAATAATCATTCCTATAACTGTATTGTATAAAATAAATGTTTAAACATCTTTTAAATTAGCATAAAAAAGAACAAAAACAACTCTGAACTCATGTGAAGACGTGGTATGCTACTTTATCAGCCTCTAATCATCAGAGAGGCAGTTCTGGGTTCCCTTTATTCTCTAGCTCAGTTGTTATCAGGAAGGATTTTGTTCCCCAGTGGATATTTCACAGTGGCTGGAGACATTGTTGGTTGTCAAGTTCTCAAAATAGGGATGCAGGTTGAGGGGATACTACTGGTATATGGTGAGCAGAGGGCAGGGATGCTGCTCAAACATTCTTCAGGGCATAGGGCAGCCCCCAGACAAAGAATTATTTGTCCCCAAAAGTTGATAGTACCAAAGCTCAGAAACCTTGCTCTAAAGATATGGTTTGCTTTTGAAATTCTATCCAATTTCCTGGTTTAAGTATCACATATATATTGATTCTCATTTCCAGTTCAGATCTCTACGCTGAAATTGATTCCACCGATTATGAACCTATTTCTCTCACAGCCAGTCTTTGCAATCTCAGTAAATGATACTACCATTATTCAATTGCTAAAGCTCCAAACCTAGTCAGCTTTTCTGCTTTTTACTCCTCCACCCTCTTATACTCCTACTGATTATATATCCCAAATACACTTCAAATTCATTGAGCTCTCTCCATATCCACTGTCTGCTCTAATTAAAGTCCCTGTCACCTCTCTCCCTGGCTTCTGCAGCAGTCTTCGAATTAGTGTCTGCTTTCACTCTTGTCTCCTCCAAACCTTTCCCACAGACCAACCCAGGATGGGATCCACACTCTAAAGCATGGCTTTTTATGTTCTATTTGACCCAGCTCTGCCTTCTTCTCTTACCTTCTGTTATTTGCACACTCCAAATCCTTTCCTGCAACAACCTCTTCATTGGTTGTTCTCTCTTTGACTGTTTCTCTATGGCTAGATTCTTGTCATTCATTTTGTTTCCATTCAGTGCAATCTCCTCAAAGGGTCCTTCCTTGTATTACCACCCCCTCCATTTCCTTCATAGCACGTATTACAGTGAGAAAATATTGATTGTTTACCTACACACTGTCTGCCTCTCTCCCCTGCAATGCAAGCATTAGTCCCCTATGGGAGGGATATTATCTGATTTTTCCAATTTCTCATATTACCTAGTGGAAAACCTGGCACACTGCATGCATTCACAAAGGGATTGTGTTCCTCAGACCCTCTTTTCCTTTCACATTTTCCATCCGGGTGTCTTTCTCTAGACTCATGGCTTTAAATACTGTGTAGTAGTATCTCCCCATGTGTATCTTCAGTCCAGACTGCTTCCAAATTTAAGACTTCTCCCCAAATACCTATTTGAAACTTTCTTTTAGGTGTTGCTATGAACTAAACTGTGTCCATAGGGCTTCACAATTCGGATGTTGAAACCCTAACCCCCAATGTGTTTCTGTTTAGAGATAGGGTCTTTAAGGTGGTAATTAAGGTTAAAGGAAGTTATAAGGGTAGAACCCTAATCTAATCTCAGTATCCTTATGGGAAGAGAAAGACACCAGTGATCTGTAATCACAGATAAAAAGCCACTAAAGCACATAGGAGGGAGGCCTCAGAAAAAATAACCCTGACAGCATTTTGACCTTGCAATTACAACATCCAGACTGTGAAAACGGTGAGAAAATAACTTTCTATTGTTTAAGCCACTCAGTCTACGGTATTTCATTAAAGCAGCCCTAGGAGACAGGTGTCTTTAAGACATTCAACACTCAGTATCACTCAAATTCCTGTTCCCCACTTCTTCACCCTCTAGCACTTCCCATCTGAGTAAAGGGGACTACCAAACATCCAGGTGCTCAAGCCAGACCTAAGGAGCTATTTTATTTATTTTTTTTCATTTCTTTTCCCCCTTCTCCCTCCAGTTATCCTTCCTCAGGCAACTGCAATGTCTGTGGATTCAAACACTTAACTATATTTTGCACCTTAGCACCTTCTTCAGTGACATCACCTTAGGCCAAGCCACATAAATGCAACCAATGCCTTACTTATGTCCTTCCATACTTACTGCACTCCCTTCTCTCTGGTGGAGGAGGCCTAAGGTTTTTAGGACACAAATCTCATCAACTACCCCTTGCTGGAAATTTTCCCTTCATAAAGTTTCCTTGCACTTAGAAAGCAATCCAAGCTCCATCCTGGTCTCTAAGACACTAAATGTCCTACTCCATCTCTCTTACCTCCTCTGTTTCCACTCTTTCCTCTAGACCCCTGTTCTTTCTGTTCTGTGCACCCACAAAGTTCTTTGTTGCTTCATAAATTTTGCATAGCTTTTTTTGTTTGCCTAGAAAGTTTATTTTCCCAGTTACAGGTCTGCCTCTTCTGTTCCTTTAAGTCTTAGCTTAAAAATACTCTGCTCAGAGAAGCCTGTCTAAAGCATGCCATCCGTCACACCAGCCTTTATTAGCGGCTTGTTTTTGACTTTCCTAGAACATTTTGGAGTTCGTAGTTATTTTCTTTTCTTATTATCTTTTGACTTGTTTTCTCTATCTCCCAATTTAAAGGGAAAACTAAGCCTCTAATCCTGTCTACTATTATACCACTAATGCCTGCCACATCAGGACTCACTGCATGCTTGTTGAATGAAAGCTTATATACAATTTTTTTATATATAAACATTGAAAAGATAGAAAAATGAACAGAAAAATCAAACAGAGAATCAAAACTAAACATACATCTACCTAATACTAATTTAAATAGTGAGAAAAATGAAATACTCTTTAAAGACAATTTTACATGTAGTTCCATGGTTTTCTTTTCTGAAGCTCAGGAAGCAAAAGCAAAATATACAGTAGTGAAGTGAAATTTATAAATAGGTTGGTTGAGGAAGAAAACAGGAACTATAACTTTGAAGTTACATTTTGCTAGTAATTATTATCTTTTATTAATGCTAAAAATGAAACAGATCTATCAGCCAGATGAATAAATAAATAAATAAACTATGGAATAAATATCACATTAATTTCTACAGGAGATATAAGGCTTAAAATCCCATCTACCCCCAGAACCAATACATTCTAACATAATCATAAAATTTTACCAGAATTTGTGCATCCCTCAATTGTCGACACTGCACGTGAAGAACAAATGGTTCAAATTTCAAAATGGCATCGCCATTCGCCTTCCTCAGAGCTACAATCTAAATAAATGACAAATGATATTAGATACACAGTTTGATCCCGTTCTTTAGTGACCCTTTACCTCATACATAACTTCAGTTATACCTGGAAACTTCCTGTGTTCAGTATAGGACATACACTGGTAAGCTCATAAATCGCACTGCACACAGAGCTCAGAATACGGATGGTGCATTCCTGCTCCCTCCGTGTACAGCACAAATAAACGTGCGTTGAACTGTTTAGCTACATAAGCATCTCTGATCCTCAGGTATGTCCTCAGTTATCCATATTTCAGATCCCAAGGGGAAAGGCTGGGTGCTCCACTGTGTTACAAAGTGGGATGTATGCAACCACAATGCACTTGTCAGCCATGGAAGAGATCTTCAGAGATCCTCTAGTCATGGAGTTGGACAGGTTGCAAGGGGTTGAATCTCACATACTGTGTCTCTATTCCTGCTGTAGATAAGTGCTGTGCTACCTAAGCCTAGGGTGTGAGTTATCTGTTCCTACCAACCTTGAGTCATCCACTGGTCTTTTCCCTACATGGTACTTACTTGCCTTGACATTGGCTGCACCCACGTTAAAGTCTATCCTGCAGAATATCCTGACTACTCAGGAAAACATGTAACATTACATCTGGGCTAGAATTTAGATAAGACAGTCATTAGTGCCATCTGCTTAGCATCCCTGAGTAGCACCCTCACTCCTTCACACCATTTGATTCTGGTGGGACTGATAATCATGACCCTGCCATTTATCATTCTCCTTATCATATCACAGGTGTCAAGTGTCTATGTCTAATGCTGCCCATTCCACCAGCAAAAATAATTGTTCAAGGGAACACCTTGTCCACACAGGCCACATCAGAGTCCTACTCTGGGACCAATACAGGATTCTTAGATTAAGGATGTCTTTTCCTGTTGGGGTTGCTGGCAGCTCTCATTCCTGCCACAACCATCATCTGCAGCTCAACAGACTAAGAGCAAACATGTAGAGAGAAGCAGAACCCAAAGATGGAGAAGGAGGGAGTACTCCCAAGAGTACCTGAGCCAGAACCTGCAGTGTCTGCTTCTAACTCCACCCGTCCTTTCTAGCTAAATAATCGTTTTTGCATAAGACAGAATCAGATTTCTAAATTCACTGGAAATGAAAAGTGCTTGGGGTTGACATGGTGGCTTAGCAGGTAAAGCTGCTGCCTGCAAATTCCGGCAGCCCATATGGGCGCCGGTTCTAGTCCCGGCTGCTCCACTTCTGATCCAGTTCTCTGCTATGGCCTGGGAAAGCATGGGAGACTGGGAGGAAGCTCCTGGCTCCTGGCTTCGGATCAGCTCAGCTCTGGCCGTTGAGGCCATCTAGGGAGTGAACCATCGGATGGAAGACCTCTCTCTCTCTCTCTCTCTTTGCCTCTGCCTCTCTGTAGCTGTGTAGCTCTGCCTTTCAAATAAAATAAATAAGTTTTAAAAGAAAAGTGCTTGTCTAATACAAACTTATATGAACCTATCAAAACACTTTAATTTAGGAAACTAAACAATCTAGATATGAAGTTTTTCAAGTAATCCAGTTAAGTAATGTGTAATTTATTTGCATTAGTAAAGCTGGTAACACAGAGTTAGTAACCCTCTTCCTTCTAGTTTGTTCCAGGTCACAGAATTATCAAATGGCAGAAGTAAACTTCAAAATCCAGATCTAGTATGTCTAATACTCATGAACTTTCTGAGGTATCCAAGAGGATATGTTTTGCTGAGCAGCATTAAATCATGGCTGCTTACATACATATATATACGTCCACATTTTTATGTCCTATGACCGAAAAAAGTCATTGTAATGAAACCTTTCCAGGCACTATAAACTTTAGCCATTATAATTGTATATATAAATCACCCTGAATTTTTCTATTCTTTCATATGTATTTAAAGTAGCTGCAAATTTAAAAGTTTACTTCTAAATGTATATGTAAAAACTTACCATATCCTCTTTTACGCAAGGTTTATGTGTAACCAGCAGCCAGCAACACTGTTTTTTCTGAACCTCAAAGCCATTTATGCCCTAAAACAACAAATAACATATTTAATATTTATAAAAATAATATCTGTAGTTTATAGCATATTATAGGCTTTCTTAAATTAATATCTCAGGCCATGATTTGAAGTATTACTGAAAATGATTCAATATTTTTTGAGTAAAGTTAGTTGAAAGCCAAAATGATCCTAAATAAGAGAAACAGAAAGAAAATAATGTGAAAAATACTTAAAAACATATTCTGCATTATGGTCATGATTTTGTGAAGAGAAAAGCATCATACGAGGTTGTACACCAGTGATGCCTGAGCTGTTGTATTTGGCTAGCACAAAACACAAACAAAAAAGAATGTGAACTCCTTTTGTAGGAGAGCATTCCTTTCCAACACCTGTGCTGATCACGTCTTTATGATACCTTCTTGGTCTCTATGGGCATAAATCTGTGACCTCTGAATTAGTTCCAAAAGGAGCAGGGACTGAAAGCTTGAAATTACAAGAAGGCCAAACCTTTTTCTTTTTCTTTATTAATGCATTTGATAGGCAGAGAGAGAGAGACACACACACACACACACACAAAGACAGCTCCTATGTGCTGGATCACTCCCCAAATGCCCACAAAGGCAGGAGCCTGGAACTCAATCCAGGTATCCCATGTGGGTGGCAGGAACACAATTACTTTTTATTTATTTTTTTGACAGGCAGAGTTAGCCAGTAAGAGTGAGAGTGAGAGTGAGAGAGAGAGAGAAAGGTCTTCCTTCCGTTGGTTCACCCCCCAAATGGCTGCTATGGCTGGTCGCTGCACCGACCCGAAGCCAGGAGCCAGGTGCTTCATCCTGGTCTCCCATGGGGTGCAGAGCCCAAGCACTTGGGCCATCCTCCACTCCCTTTCCCGGGCCACAGCAGAGAGCTGGACTGGAAGAGGAGCAACTGGGACAGACTCCAGCGCCCCAACTGGGACTAGAACCAGGGGTGCCAGCGCCGCAGGCGGAGGATTAGCCTAGTGAGCCGCAGCGCCGGCCAGGAACACAATTACTTGAGCCACCATTTGCTGCCTCTCTGGGTTTAATCAGCAGTCAGCTGGAATCAGGAGCCAGAGCCAGGTACTGAGTGTAGGTACTCTGCTGGGTGAGATAGTATCTTAACCACAAGGTTAAATGCCTGCCCCAAGAAGGCAAACATTTAAACAGTGCCTAAAATTGGAATAAGGGTTTATTTGCAAAATTCTATTAGGTACTTTGGGTATACACAGATTGTACCCTTAAGACAAAGATGATACAGGAAACTACAACTGTCCCTATATTTTTACAAACTAACTACACTTTTATAAAGTAACTATTTATACCCAAAGTCCACAGGAGACTCTTGCTGTCTGACTTTGGAACTAGTCCTGAATAACTGTTTTGTTTTCATTGTAAGACTTTGATGACTTACGTATCTGATTTTCTGCAGGATACTCTAAGTCTTAGATCAGAGCCCAGTGTGTGTTCTACCTCTGAGAGTTTGCAGATCTAATAGCATGATTTGGGAACGAATGTCATCTCTGTTTTACCTTATCTATAATCCCTTTATGCAGATCATCCCCTGTTTTATTTTTTCTTTTGTTACCTTCCTGTAAATTGCTCCAAATCCTTCCTGAAATAAGGCAGAGAAAAAAAACAAATATAATACAAGGTATAAGATAATAAATAAAATGAAAAGAGGTGCAGGTAAAGTCTTAAGCCAGTTCAGAAGAAGCAGTCATTACTCCCAAGTGGGTTGTGTTTGTGTGTATGTATGTGTGTGTGTGTGTGTGTTCAAGTAGGAGAAGGGATTTGGAAGAATCTTATCTCATATATACAGAGATGGGGGAAATATTTCAAGGGGTAAAATGAACAAAGGCAAAAGGAGCCAAGTACAAGATAAAAAAAGAATATTTCAGTTTCTGTAACTAAATAAAGATGAAGAGAAGTAAGATAAAACAGGGTTGAAAGGTATACATACTAGAGTAGGGGTTTGGAATTTCTGGTGTGGAAAAATATGTAATAAAAGACTTCAGCATAGTTGACAAGCAGAGCTATGCTTCAGAAAGCCAAATCTGTTAGTATGCGACATTCTTTGGACAAAAGAGAACAGTTTAACACAAAACCAGTGCAAAAATCCAGGTGAGACAGGGTAGTGGAAATAAGAGAAGACAGGGTGTGTGGGGTGGCAGGGAGGGGGGTAGGAGTACTAGTGCTTCAGAATAAATAGAACCAATATAAAATGAATAAGCTGTGGCTAACTTGGAAGACCAGCAAAGGATCCATCTATGATGGACCTAAAGAATGAATCCATGAAGGTGCTATCTCCCATGCTCTAAATAAAATATTATGAGTAAAATTAACACACAGCCAACTTTTGCAGTACACTTAACACAGAGTAGGCATGATGCTAAATATTTCAAATAAATTATCCCACTTCTTCCACACAAAATCCCTATGCTCTTCAATTTCCTCAGTTCATGGGACAAGAAGGGGCTGAGCTAAAATAACTCTCCCAAGGTCACATGTCCAGTAATTCTGATAACTAGCTTGGAATCTAAGCAGTATCACTCATCACTCCAAAGTCTGAGGACTTGACTACTATCTCATACATGAGGAGACTTCAGAAAGTTCATGGAACATAGAAGATTGGTTTAGGAGCGGGCATTTGGTTTAGTGGTTAAGAGGCCTCTTGGGATCCCATTTTAGAGCGCATACATCAGTGTCATGGCTCTGATCTGGATTCCAGCTTTCTGTTAATACAGACTCTGCAGGGCAGCGGAGACCCTAATTGAGTTCCTGGCTCCTGGCTTTCGCATGGCCCAAGCCCAGCTGTTGTGGGATTTTGGAGAGTGAACCAGAAGATGGGAGATCTGTCTCTCTACTTTTCAAATATATTAAATAAATATTTTAAAAGGAAAGTTTATGTTGGTTCCCCCAAAATTTGAAACTCATGCATAGTTTTTTCACAATACACATCTTTCTGTTAACTTTTTGGAGACTCATACTATACATTTCGAAATTTCTTGTTCTAAAATAAATATCTCTTAATTCCAATTTTTCCCTTGAACTTTAAGTTCAAAGGAACTTGAACCTACTGTTGTGTTTGAACTGTGAAAACCAGCAGAGCTGTAATAATGGAGCTGGCCACTTGGAGGCAGTAAACTTAACGCCGGTGACAAGAAGGCAGTAACTGATTTGGCAGGGTGGATAAGGAAAAGCATTCAATACATCATCAGGCTAGAAAGTCTTTTTAAGTTTCCGTGGTACTCAAAAAATCAAATTTTATAATCCTTGCCACTCACTGTAGTTATTAGGCCAACAAGATGCCATCACGGGGGAACTTCTTGGAACTACACAGTATCAGCCCCACACTAGACCAAACGACAGAATCAGCATTCTATTCCAAAATCCTAAACTGACTGACAATAAAGTCTTAGAAGCACTGGTGTAATTCACCCTCTAAGTTCCATGGATAACGAAACCGAGACCACCCACCAGAAGCACAAACAGCCTGAACTGGGTGTTGGACTGAATAGGCACGGTTCCTCAAGCGGCGAGCTAGAGGGCAGGCGCCGAAAAAGGTGCAAAGGAGCCTCACCCCATCTAGGAGGAGGATGCGGCCCGCGCAGGAGCTGGTGGTGAAAAACTGTTCCTGCGCGTTCAGGAGCTGCACAATCTCTACCGCATCCTCGTCCACACTGCCCTTCCGGCTGAGGTCCGCTCTGCTGAGACACTGCGCCTTCCATCTCCTGAACTCTGCGCTGCGATCCATGCTTGACGGGTTTAGGATCTGCACCCACCACCTTCACGTCACCCGCGCTTCTCCCTGGGGGCAGCCATATTGAAGCGAGCGGTGGCCGACGAGGCCCAAACTTCCTCTCCCGTGCCGAACTCGGGACAGTCTGGCTTTCTACTGGTCGAGAGGAGGGGCGCGCCAGCGAGGCGGAGCTTGCGGAGGTTGGAGACGCCCGGGCCCGCCTCCTTCTTAGTAGTCCGAAGGGGCCTGCGCACATTTTGATTTCCACTCTAGAGCCGGGTAAGTGGTTTGCGGGAGCCCCCTTAAGTTGTGCAGCCCGCGAAGCTGCGTGCCTCCTGTCTCAATGGGTTTTAGCTGCACTCATTTCGTGCCCCCTAGGCTGCCGCGCACAAGGCGCGCCAGACCCTCCCCGCCCGGGCGCCTAGAGTGCCCGTCTTTCAGTCGCTTGGGGAGTTTTACCATCGGTCACGGGCACCCAGTCCTGGTTTCAGTGGTATCCTTGTCTCAGCTGCTGCCACCCTGCGGGGCGTCCGTTGGCACCTCCGCCGCCTTCTCACCGCCCGCCCCCACCCCGGAGCCCAGGCTGGGGTGGGGTGGGGGTCCTGCAGCGACGCTGGCCAGTCTGCCCAGGACCGCTGCCCGTAGCCCAGCTGTGCGCTTCTCCTAGGTACCCGCAGCTACAGCTCTCCCAGGGCTTCCACCCGGGCCTGCCTGCAGCCTTGCCTTCAGGGTTGCCTGCATTCCTACTCTGGTGAGAAATATATGGTCTTACTGATCCTATGGCCCCCACTTAAAATAAGTTTCAAAAGGAAAAAAAAATATATGAAATACTCTGTTCACACATCGTTGGATGTTTACAGACTTTCTAGAGACTTCTGCCCAGGGCATCGGTTGTTTAAAGGCTAAAGTCCGGCGTGTTGTCCGCAGCTTATGGAGGTGGCTGTGTGAGGCCCGTTAAGTCTCCATGGCCCTAAGCCAGCTCACCAGCAAACCTACCGAGCTGGGGGAGCTCAACTTCCCCAGCGTTGGAGAGCCCCTGCCCTGTGCCACCCAAATTTACCCAAGACCCTCTCCTTCTTATCCATAGTGAGCATTGAGATGATGTGCACTTTAAGGGTTCTTCCCCCTGGGTTAATAAACAGTATATTTACATGAGTCATTCCTAACCAGCAGCAGCACAATTGTAATGATTGACTTGCCTTCCAGTTCTCACTTTTAAATTTTTCGCTGGAAATTCTTATTTATTTCTATTCTCATTAAGTGCCTTGATTCTGACTGTGACTCAATCTGTTCATTGTACATTAAAATGTATCTCTTAAATTTTTCCTGTCCTAATTTTCATTTAAACCAAATAGCTACAAGCATTTCTTGGAAAAGATCACTTTTTGAAGGGGAATTTTAAATTTCACTTAGGTTTATAAAGTTGGCACCTTTAAGAGGTAAAAAAAAAAAAAAAATGAAGCCAAAAGTTAAACCAAGGTAGTCAATTTTTATCTTTTCTTATTTTTTTTTAATCTTTACTCTTCTCTGAGGACATTCCACTTATGTAAGTGTTCAACAGATTTTTTCCTTTTTCAGAACTCCGTCTTGCTAGTTCAGTTTTTTTTTTTTTTTTAATGTATTTATTTATTTGAAAGTCAGAGTTACACAGAAAAGGAGAGGCAGAGAGAGAGAAAAAGAGAGATCTTCCATCTGCTGGTTCACTCCCCAATTGGCTGCAATGGCAGGAGCTGTGCAGATCAGGAGCCAGGAGCTTCTTCCAGGTCTCCCACATGGATGCAGGGGCCTAAGGACTTGGGCCATCTTCTGCTTTCCCAGGCCATAGCAGAGAGCTGGCTCGGAAGTGGTTCAGCCAGAACTCGAACCGAACCAGCACCCAGGTGGCGGCTTTACCTGCTATGCCACAGCACTGTCCCCAACACTTTTTTTTAATTTGTTTATTCGAAAGGCTGACACACACACACACACACACTCAGAGAGACAGAGAATGAAATGAAAGAGAAATAGTCTTCCAAAAGCTGTTTCACTCCCTCCACCCCCAAAATGCCCCTAACACTCAGAGCTGAGCCAGATCTAAGCCATGAGCCATGAATTCAATCTGGGTCTCTCGTGAGAATAACAGGGACCCAACTACTTGAGCCATCGTTTGCTGTCACCCAGAGTCTGCCTTAGCAGGAACCTGGTTCAGAAGCTGGGCCAGAGCCTGACCCAGGCACTGAGATGAGGGTGTCCCAAGTGGTGACTTAATCCCTGTGCCAAACTCACATGTCAAAATAATTTTCTAGGGGCCCTGTTGTGTTGTAGCAGGTTAAACTGCTGCTTTGACTTCAGCATCCTATACCAGAGTGCTGGTTTAATTCCCTGCTGTTCCACTTCCTGATAATGCACGTAAGAAGGCAGCAGCAGATGACTCCAGTGTTTGGGACCCTGCCACCCACGTGGGAGACCAACATGAAGCCTCTGGCTCCTGGCTTTGGCTTGGCACAGTCCTGTCTGGGGGGGTCATTTGGGGAGTGGGCCAATGGATGGAAAATCTCTCTGTGTACCTCTCTGACACTACGCCTTTCAAATAAAAAGATAAATAAATCTTTAAAAAATAAATTTTGAAGCTTAGATTTGATAAGTAGAAAGATCTAATTGAAATAAAGTTTAATTTAAAAACAGCAGCAATATAAGCCCTGCTGACCACAGCTTAGTCTGAATAATACAGAGCTTACAGTAGGGAAGGCCCACTGTGAAATACTTCCCCATGTTGTTGTAGCTCATTTTCACAAGGATTCTATGCTAGGGAATACCATCCCCATTTTCCAGAAAAGGAAATTATATTTTCCCGACAGAATCATGTCCTTTGTATCTGCTGCATTCCCTGACTTGTGAGCATTTGTGAACTGTCAAGCTCTGAGTGCGTATCTTAACCATAAAATAAGTGATCCTACCTGAAGGTTGGTTCAGTTGCATAGTGTTAGCTCAGTCTGTCTTATTATCATCAGTATAAAACACTCCTAATGAATTAGGAGTCCGCTGTGCCAGCATTGCAAAGGGTCAGATGAACAGGATTGTACAGGAAAGAGAAAAACAAAACTATCTAACTACATTTATGGTATAGGACTTGTGTTCTAGCTTTACTTCTATCTGGCCTTGACCATGTCAAATTATTGTGATGTGTTCTCATCCATAAAATAAATGGTGATTTTATTTTTACTCTTGCATAAAATAACAGTTCTAATAACTGTTGCTTCTCTACATGCTGTGAAAATAATTCTATCCATGGAAGTGTCAGACCTGTGTGTTTTTGAAGGAATCAGGTATTATGGGAATTTAATTATTGTAATTGCTGTTAGTATGCCATGTTATGTTATTCTTTTTGTAATTCCCTTTGACACAGTACTTGTATTATGAAGCAGATGATGATTCTCTGGGTAGCAGAGTTCAAAGGCAATGAGTGCAGACTGGAGCTGATCAATCAGAATGGCATAAATTCAGTGGGAAAAAAGATCAAGAGAAACAGAATAGAAGGTAGTGCCATTAAGGTCATACCCCATCCCTCTGCAAGCTCCGTGATAATACAATAGTACTAGGCAAGGGAGGTGAATCTCATAAATCCAGTATTAAGGATGAATCTCCTCTTTCCTTTGTTCCTGCCTTCCAATTCAGCCAATGGCAAAATGTAGGGCAGAAATATATGTGTCAGGTACAAGATACAGGTACTGTTTCAGAGTGATTTTGCTTTCATAGTGCTTAATTTTTTGAAGATACTGGTGGTGTCTGTTGGTGCAGAATAGATGCAAGTGAAAGAAGTGAAAAGATAGTAGATTTTCTTTTTAAAGATTTTACTTATTTGAGAGGTAGAGTTACAGACAGTGAGAGGGAGAGACAGAAAGAAAGTTCTCTCATTCACTGATTCACACCCCAAATGGTTGCAACTGCCAGAGCTGCGCCGATCCAAAGACAAGAGCCAGGAGCTTCTGGGTTTCCCATGTGGGTGCAGGGGCCCAAGTGTCTAGGCCATCTTCTACTGCTTTCCCAGGCCATAGCAGAGAGGTGAATTTTTGGAAGAGGAGCATCCGGGACTAGGGCCAGCGCCCATATAGGATGTTGGTGCCACAAGCAGAGACAACCAACTGAGCCACAGCGCTGGCACCGGAAGTAGATATTAAAAATAGAAAAAGAGCTGAGCACCTTATATGATGAATGTTTGTATGTGTGAGAAAGTGAGAGCTCTGAGCTCACAGGAGCTGGGGGCTAGGCACATTTTGTGTCTGTCCTAGGTTTTCTGGGTTTGGCACAGTGCCTCACATAAAGTTAATGTTCAGAAATACATGTGGTATGAATAACAACCAGTGTTTGGTATTAATGTTTTATTTAAATGATGATCTAGGATTCTTTGCAGCTTGTTTTTGTAACCAAAGTTCTGTAAATACTGTTAAGTTAAAGATGGCTATAAAAGGGAGTATATTTTTATGAATAAGAAGCTGGAAAGACGACTAGATGGAAAAGGAGCATATATTTGTCGGGCCTTGCGCTTGGTGCTTGCTGTATCTTCAGCACAGTAATTTTGAGTAGGCGCCTACTTTTCAGATGAGAAAACTGAGGTTCAAAAGGTTGACCACTTTGCCCAAGACAATGTGGCTAATAAATGATAAAACTGGGATTCAAACGTTAGTTTCCAAAGCCCTTGCTCCAGCCTTTGCAACTATTTGGGAAGTGAACCAGCAGATGGAGGACCTCTTTCTCTCTCTCTCTCTCTCTCTCTCTCTCTCTCTCTCTCTCTCTCACTGCTTTTCAAATAAGTAAATCTTTAAAAGTGAATATGAATTAACTGCACACAGCCAAGTGTTTCAACATTAATAATTCTCAAAGCTTAATGCTGGGAGGAAACGGCAAACTGCTGAATGAAGAACAAACAAATCCAGATAAAACTGAAAAACATGCAAAACAATAGAACATATTATTAACTGAAACATATACATTAGTAGTAGTATAACATACTCCAGGTGATTAACACTGTGTTCATAGTAATAGTCACCTCCTAAAAGGGTAGGCCAGAAATGGGTTGGAGAATGGTGGGCACAGCAGGCTTCATTGTTAGCAATAATGATTTAGGTTTTTCAAATGTTAAGGTTTGTTAAAGCTGGGGATCAAGTAAATGTGTTTATTTTGTATATTTCTCTGTGGGTTTAGTTATTAAAATTTCTGTCAGCTCCTGAAATTTCAAGATGTTGCAACTCAAGCTTACACAAAAGAAGGCATAAGATATGGTATCATGCTAGGTCTATCCAGATGTTTTTGTTTGCATGTTTGATTCCCTGTTGAAGGCACTGAACCCCTAAGGGAAGTAGTGGGAAGTATTTCACTTTGTAGCTGAAAGAGTTCTTAGATGAAAGGTCCTGAAACATGAAATGAAATCAGTGGTAAGCTCATGATTTAAATTGTTGTTTGAGAAATTGTTTGATCTGCCCCCTCCAGGGAAAAAACCTCGTGATAGCCTAGATACACTGTGACAATACATTAATTTTTTTTCTTGGTATCTAGATCACCATGGCGACTGGACAGAAGTTGATGAGAGTTATTCGAGTTTTTGAATTTGGTGGACCAGAAGTGCTGAAACTCCGGTCGGATGTTGCAGTGCCATTTCCAAAAGAACATCAGGTGGAAATAATTACTTCATTCAGGCAATAATTACACTGAGTTTGAGTTTCGAGCACATCAAGTTTGTGTTCAAAAGAAGCAGATTCAGAATGATTTTTAAAGGCATGGAATTTAGACAAAGTTTGGACTATTTATATGAGGATAGTTCCAAAAGTTTAGGAAGATGAAGTTAAAAGATAAGTGTATTTCAGTGCAAAAATTTTTTGAAATCCATGCATATGAGGGACCTTCAAAGAGTGCATGGACAAATGCATTTTATGAAAAAACTGAGTGGTTTATAAATTTTTTTGCACCAAGGTAAACTTATCTTTTAGTTCCATTTTCCAGAATCCCTTTGAAGTACGCGTGTGTGTGTGAACTGTGACAAAGTTAACATAGACCTAATAATTAGTGAAGAGGGCCTTTGAAAAGAAATCACTGTTGTTTATAAGAAAACTTTTAAAGTTGAAAATCATCTCTGTATTGCATTCACTGGATCTTTCTGAATGGAGTCATAAGTAGTTTTGAGTAAGTTATTCTATTGCGAACCTTCATAATTTCCATTTTGTACCCAGTAGGAAAATAGGTTTCTTCTGCATTCATGCTTTCTCACGTTATGACTTAAGAGAATTTAAATGTAGTTTGGTCATCTCCAGTGACTTTAACAATATACTTTTAGTTCAAACTTACTGTGTTTTTATTAATGTGCCCTATTTGGCTCCCAAGTCTAATTTCCTCAGTAAGCCTTATGAGAGTTTTTGCAGTTTGGCAATAACCAATTGTTAGAGATTTATTTCTTATAACTCCCTCTTTATGGACTATGCTGTAACAATATCAAATTTTATCCATTCTCCTCAAGAGACTATTCTTCTGTCAATTCCTTTTCACTACTATATCCTTATTGTCTTATTCCTAAAGAACTTCTGCTCATCCTGAGGATCCTTGCTGCTTCCTCTGTAAGGCCATCCTTTATGCTTATGGCAGAGTAATCATTCTGTATTAATTAAGGCAAAATTAATTCCTATAATAGATGTAATTCCCAAATTTCAATGATTCAACAACACAAAATTATTTCTCATTCACTAAATTCCAAAACGTTGGTAGGTACCTCTTCTCCAATAGTGCTTTCAGGACCCTGGCTTCTTTTATCTTATGACTGCTGCCATCTCTCGAATCCATCAAACTTTCCATGGAAGGGTAAAAACAGCAAGGATTGCCTGGCGAGAGTTTCGTGGGCTTGGCCTGCAAGTGGCACTCATCACTTCTGACACATTCCATTGACCAGAATTCAGGTGCTTGGCTCCTACTAACCATGAAGGCATCCAGAAAATAATGCTCTTCCATGGACCCAGGAAGAAGAAGTCATAGGCTTAATTAACACACAGAGGCTGCTGCCACGTATTCCTCTAGGAGTTTCTGACACTGTTTTTGCAAAATGTTTTTAATTTAGTTCTTAAACCATTCTGTTTTTTATTTTTATTTGTAGGTTTGCAAAGTTAGGTGAGATTGTTGAGACTAGTACTTGTTTATTCTATGGATTTTTTTTTTGTACTCTGTATTTATAACTCCCGTTATAGTACAGGCATAGCGTAATGCTGAATGAGTGGGTACATGTTCTTTGTGAACTAAAATACATTGTCATTACAGGTTCTAATCAAAGTCCACGCATGTGGTGTAAATCCAGTGGAGACATATATTCGCTCTGGCACTCACATTATAAAACCAGTCTTACCTTATACTCCAGGCTCAGATGTGGCTGGGGTCATAGAAGCTGTCGGAGATAATGTGTCTGCTTTCAAGGTATGGCATTTTTAGTTATTTCTGTTTTGGCTTAACTTTTTTTTTCTTAAAATATTTTAGCATGACTTTAAAATATGTCTGTATTTAAGGCTTTTAAAGGCCCCATTATATCTTTTCTGCCACTTGGGGGACTCCTCTAGTCAAAAAATAAATACTTTTTCTCCAGAGGCTTTATTTGTTTTGCATTGTTGGGAGTAAATGTGGATAATTTCTGCATCTTTGCATCTCCAGAGAATAAACTGTGATCCTTTTGATTTAATAGAGATAATGTTAGAAAAGAAAACAAACAAGAAAATATATTCATACTATATCCTTACTCTTGTTAATATACAGGCCAGTATGATTTTTAATTTCATTTATAAATTTAGCTTTACAGAATAAAGGGAAAGTTAATTATTTTAAAGAATAAGTAAAACGTGGAGAAAGGCAAGGTCACTATACAGTTTCAGAGCTCAGAGTCAGACCAAGGTCAATGAAAGTGTTATTATGATCAGTGCTTTTGTTATTTATGTGCCAAAAGACATAAAAACATAGATTGAATATTCTTACTATACTCATGTTCTAGCATCTTTCCTCACAATTTCTTGACCTACTCAACTTTGGCAGCACATTTACCAAAATTGGACTGAGACCAAGAAGATTAAGGTGCCCCTGTACAGGAAGACGGGCAAATTCATACAGCTTTCCCCTTCTTAGCCTGTGGCAATCTGCCTTCTGCCCCCATAGCTCCAGTGAAATGATTCTTGCTAATGTCACTAATGGCCTCTGTACTGCTGGAGTTAATGGGCCCTTTTATGTCATTATCTTTCTTGACTTCCCTGTGACATTTGACACTCTTAGCCACTTAACTTTTTCTTTAGAAAAAACTTTTTCTTCAGCTTTCGTGACATCATTTTTCTCCTGTTCTCCTTTCCACTTCTTCTCTGGGCAACTATTTATTAAGCCGCCTCTTCTCTGGGTGCTCCTTAAATCCTGGTGTTGCCTGGGGCTCCCAGACCCTAACTGGACCTGGGCTATCTGTGTTCTGTGCTTTTCCAGAATGGGCTCACTCACTCAGTTTCTATCATCACAGGTGGGATCTTTGAGAATTGTTTACCAAGCTCTGGACCTATGCTGTCCAAGATGGTAGCCACATGGAGGGTACTTGCTGCAGTGTGTTTTGCTCAGTTTGAGGTACCCACATCCCAAATCGGAATCCATGAGTTCAAGTGCCAGCTTTGCTGTCTATTCCAGATTCCTGCTGATGCACACTCTGGGAGAGAGCAGGTGATGACTCAAGTATTTTGGTTCCTGCAACCCACTTGGGAAATCTGGAAGGAGTTCTGAGCTCCTGGCTTCAGCCTGGCCCAGCCCTGGCTGTTGCCGGCATTTGGGGAGTGAACCCAATGGATGGAAGATCTTCCCTCTGTCTCTATGCCTTTAAAATAATTAATTTTTTAAAAAATACTGGCCACAATCTGTATTTAGCAATTTAAAATTCAAATGAAATAGAAACTTAAAATTCAGTTTGAGTTATGTTAGCAACATTACAAATGCCTCATAGCCCCATGCATATAGCAGCTACCCCATTGGACAGTTCAAGTAGAGAACATTGCTGTCATCATCGCTGTAGAAAGTCTGTTGAAGGACATTCAACTCACATGGTCACCTTCTAGGAACCTCGCACTGAGCGTGTCTGACACTGTGTTAATGTTTCCTCACTGAACTTTTATCCCTATCCCATGTGGCTGTCTTGCTGACTTCTGGGATTTGAGTCTTGTCTCCTCGTTCTCCCTCCGTCATCTCCCCAGTATTAGAACTGGTCTCTCTCCTCTCCACACCCACTGCTTACAGTGTAGTTCGGGTTATGATACCTACGCAAATGTACCCTTGACCTGGATTTCTGTTGTGTAGACATTGAACTTATCACCCGCCATCCATTGCTCTCAAATATCCCCTTACTCCAGAAAGAATCATTTTCTACAGTGTAATTCTGATTGTCCCCTACCTCCATCTTGATTCTTGTGTTAGTTCCTTATAGGCTTTAGGATATTATTAAAGTTTCTAGCTGTTATAAAATAAGGCTGTTTCGTGCTCTTCTCCATCTTTCCATTCTTATCTCCACCCTTTCCCTCTCAGAAGTTTATGCTGTAGTAATGAGCTGTTTGTCCGTCCCGGCCCGTCCCAGGCTCTCTCGTCTTTGTACTCTTTTTCATATTGATCCTTTTGCTTAGCATAATTAAATTGGAACTTATATGCATGAATCAAGGGGTTTAATACTCCAATTTTTTTGAAGATTTATTTATTATTTGAAAGAGTTACAGAGAGAGGTAGTATTGTGGGGCGCACAGATTAAAAACACAGTGAGATTTTTGAGGTCACATTAGGAGTCTATTAGCCAGCTGGCGACTGCCCTCTCAGAGCAAGTCTGGAGAAGACAGCCCCGAGTTGCAGTGGCGGCGGGGGGAGGGGGGGTCTTTTAAAGGCAGAAACTACATTTTGGTGGCCTTGACCATTATCAAAGCAAGCAAGCCGAAGTACAGAAGCCAGAAATATGCTGGTTATAGCCGGTGGAGCAGACTGATACCTGTAACTTGTTTCTCTCAAAGGAACAGTCTCTGCTCTGAAACAACCAAGCAAGATAACCTATAACCACTGGCTGTGTCCCATGGAAAAACCTTAAACTTAAGGCAACCCTGTCACAATAGAGACAGAGAGAGAGAGGTCTTCCATCTTCTAGTACACTCCTCACATGACTGCCAGAGCTGTAGCTGAGCTGAGCCGATAGCTGAGACGATCTGGAGTCAGGAGCCTCTTCCGGATCTTCCATGTGGGTGCAGGGGACCAAGGACCCAGACCATCCTCTGTTGCTGTCCCAGGTACATCAGCAGGGAGCTGGATAGGAAGTGGAGCAGCTGGGACTCGAACTAGTATCCATATGGGATGCCAGTGCTTCAGGATGAAGCTTTAACGCACTGTGCCTGTCCCCTAATACTCCAGTTTAAATTTCTTCCCATTTTATCTCTCAAAAATATTATATATAACAGTCCATTGAGACTAAATGCTGGTAATTTCTCAGCTCATATTCCTTTTTTTTTTTTTTAAGTTTATTTATTTTATCTGAAAGGCAGAGTCACACAGATAAAGAAGGAAAGGCAGAGAGAGTCTCCATCCGCTGGTCCACTCCCCAAATAGCTGCACCGATCCGAGGCCAGGAGCCAGGAGCTTCCTCCAGGTCCTCTACGTGGGTGCAGGGGCCCAAGGACTTGGGCCATCTTCCACCTCTTTTACAGGCCACAGCAGAGAGCTGGATCAGAAGTGGAGCAGCCAGGATAGGAACTGGCGCCCATATGAGATGCCAGCACTACAGGCGGCAGCTTTTTCCACTGAGCCACAGCATTGGCCCTGCATTCTTTTGCTAACCTTGTTTCTTTCACCCATTAGGACTCTTCCCAGTTCTGGTTCTCAAATTTTGTTTTGTCTTTCAATACCCAAGGCAAATATTTGCCTCTCAATGAAGCTATTCTTTCCTCAGTTTAGATGCTACTCCTTTCTTTTTCTTATACTTCTTGATGGTTCACCTTTTTGCCTTGCTTTATTATAATAGTTTCTGCCCTTTTTTTCTCTCTTCCTAGAGTATGGAATGCTTGAAATTAGGAACTGTTTCTTGCTATTAATATCCCACATGCAACGCAAAGTAATGTTTTCCATATAGTAATTCTTTTTTTTTTTTAAAGATTTATTTTATTTACTTGAAAGGCAGAGTTTACAGAGAAAGAGAGAGAGAGATCTTCCATCTGCTGCTTCACTCCCCAAATGGCCACAATAGCCCGGGCTGGGCCAGACTGAAGCCAGGAGCTTCTTGGGGTCTCCTACATGGGTGCAGGGGCCCAAGCATTTGGGCCATCCTCTGCTGCTTTCCCAGACACATCAGCAGGGAGCTGGATGGAAAGTGGAGCATCTGGGACTCGAACTGGCACCTATATGGGATGTGGGCATTGCAGGCTGAGGCTTAACCTGCTACAACACAGTGTAATTCACAATAAATACTGGTGTTATATTTCAGCCAATTCAACCTGTTTTGTAAGCTACAAAAGACAGGATTAATCTTGATTGTATAGAGGGGGAACTATTAAGCATCAATACTTTTCTTTGACTCCTGGGTGCCTTTTGGGTTTTTTTCATCTCTATCCCACTGCATATTGCTGTAACTGTTTCAAATTTGTTTATTATAGTCTCTGCCATAATATATTACTATTCCGAGGAGTATTACAATTTTGATCAAGAAAGGAAGAGTTAGAGAAGGTGTTGGTAGAGGGCAGTCTGATCTCCCTTAACAGATTACATCGGATCTCTCCTGCCTGTGTACTGCAATATCTCACCCATAGTCATGCATCTGCTTGTCCATTGCATGGGCCCAGCAAACATTTATTGAGAGTTGATTGTGTTTCTGGTGCTGTGACAAGTGGAGAAACCTGCCCTGGCTCATCTTGCGCTCAATATGGTGATCTGAAAAAAATAAAAAATGAAAAGATAAGAAAAAGAAAAACTAAATATGGTTATCTGATTTCTTGTTTAGGGGGTCTGTGGATTGTTGCATCCACTCATCAGCTAAAATAGAGTATTACAAAAACCCCTGACAGTCACTCATGAATTTTATTGAAAATGAGAGGCAAATGAGAGACAAATGAGAGACAAGGCAACCGATCTGGACCTGCAACCGATCTGGACCGACATTCCTTACCAGAGTGCAGCCCCCAACAACAATTACACAGTTTTTTTTTTATAGTATTCTGTCCACTAGGGCTCACAATTTCAAAATGGGCCCCTGGTATGCAGTGAATAATAAAAAGAAAACCAGAATATGGTTGTAAGATAACAGTGAAGGACACATTTCGTTCAACCTAGTTCCTGGGAATTTGGGCCCACATAGTTTCACAAGATACACCCTTAGCCGTTAGCAAGCAAAGCTAATATGTACAGAAGCAGAATCAAAATGGAGTGAGTGTGGCTAAAAGCTAATTGCGGATGGAAATGCAGGGAGGAGCATATCCATGGAAGGGATTTAGAACATGTGCTTGTGTGTAGAAGCAGCTGCATTTTGTTTGCTTCTTCTCCCTAGTATGTTGGACAAAAAATAATGCTTTGTATTAATTGCCACTTACTGCCTGCCTAATCTCAGGAAATTACTGCACTCTTTGTACCTGAATTTCCTAATCTGAGTAGTAGGATTAACCTAAAGTGGAGGTAATAAAGGTGCCCACCTGCTAAGCTTGTGAAGATGGAATTAAATAATGCTCATGAGACACTTAATGTAGTGCCTGTCAGTAAAGATAAATTATCATCATTGTGCCATTTGGGGTGTTCTCCTTCCTTATCTTTTATCTGCCATATTTCCTGTAATTTTTCTTATAATTGATTCTCTCATTAATAAAACATTTAAAAATATTCAGTATTTTAAAGTTATTTTATGAGACTTAAGGTATAGAAATAATATATACAAATACTCATTTCTGGGGCAAGTGTTTGATGTAGCAAATAAGGTAATATTCTACATCAGAATGCCTAGGTTCAAGTCCCAGCTCTGCTCTCAATTCCACCTACCCCCTAATGCAGTTCCGAGGAGGCAACAGTGATGGCTCCAGTAGCTGAGTCCCTACCACCCACGTGTTAGACACAGATTGAGGTCCCAGCTCCAGGCTTCAGCCTGGCTGTTGCAGCCATTTGGGGAGTGAACCAGCTAATGGTAGATCTTTCCCTTTCTCCCCTCCCCCCACCTTACTCTGTGTGTGTTTCAGATAAAATGTAAATATTCTTTTCATATTATTAATGATTTTATCCACTTTGACATAATTGTTAAGTCCAACTTACGTCTCCCTCCAGAAAGGTGACCGAGTTTTCACCACTGCCACCCTCTCTGGGGGCTATGCGGAGTATGCCCTGGCAGCTGATCACACTGTTTACACACTGCCTGAAAAACTGGACTTCAAACAAGGAGCTGCCATCGGGATCCCCTATTTTACTGCTTATCGAGCTCTGTTGCACAGGTACTGCCTGCCTTCCTGCCTTACGTCCATCTGTCCATCCTTGTTGGTTACCAGTTACCAGTAAGCGTTTATGAAGTGAAAACTGCTAATTTGAGGGATTGTGCTAATCACTGGGGATACAGAGAAGAACAAACATTGACTCCAGAATACTCAGTTTAGGGAGGGAGGTAGACATAAGAGTAATGATATTTATATATAATGTGGAAAGTGGAGGTGTGCATTAGAGATTCACGGGGTCACAAGGTTATGCTGGTGGTGATACCAGGGAGGGCTTTCTGACAAGGTGTAAGACTTAGATTATTTTAATGGCATGATTCTGTAATAGTCATCCATTAGAATCATCTGGGCTGCAATGACTTAAAAGTGCAGATTGGGCCCTATCCCCGACCTGCTGGTCAGTTTCCATGACAGGGACCTGAGAATCTGTATTTTAATCAAATATGGTAAGTATTTGAAAAAAATCACTAGGAATTTGCTTAGGGAAATTTAGCTGGGAGAGGAGAGGATTTTGGGATTAGCATGGTCTGTAAGGGAAAACAGTATGAGATCTATGGAGAGCTGTAGTAATTAGGTTTTGTTGGATAGCAGTCTTCAAGCCAAAGTGACGATATGGTGAGGCCATAAAAATCTCTGAGTAGGGTTAGCTGTCATCCTCAGAGATAGAAGTTTCAGATGATAGAGCTCACACGTTGTGTACAGGATTGGGGGTAATGAAATGTGTTGTTCAGGAAAATGCCTTTGTGTATTTGTGTTTTGTGAAGGTAGCTTGTCTGCCTTGGGAAGGATGAATTTGAGGTCAGGAATAGGGAGACAGGCGAGTCCTTCAAGCATCTCCTCTGGATGAGGCCCATCCACATCCCAGAGGTGAATCTGCTTTAGCCAAAATCCGCCAATTTAAATGTAAATCTCATGCAAAACACCTTCATAGAAACATCCAGAGTAGTGTTTGAATAAATACCAGGGCATTTTGGCCCAGTCAAGTTGCTACATAAAATTCACCAGTCCAGTGCCCCTGTAGGAGGATAGAAGCATCATGGTAGCGGGGATCCAGGAGTGAACCTGCCTGCTCCCCGCCCCACCCCCACCCCCACCCTGCTTCCTCAGGTTCCAAGTGTTTCATGAGTTGTTTATAAGATTTGTAGAAAAAAATTCACTGGGAAATATTTCACATCCCATTGTATAACACTAGTAATCCTATCCATTTATGTTAATAGTATGCTTTTCTAAATGTCAGGTCTTTTGGTAACTCAGTTTATTGTTCACACCCTCAGTTTAATTCACTGTTCTCAATCCCTTCATCTCCAAGCTAGAATGTTAGAGAAAATATCAGTGATTGCTCATTATTGCCGTTTGTCAGCTGTTGGCACACAGCCATGAGCCAGACTCTGGGTTGCCTACTGTGTTCTCAGACCCAGAGTGAACATAATGGCTCTGCAGTGTGGCCACCCCCATTGCTTTGGGAAGTAAGAGAGCCTCGCCAGAGTCAGTTCTGGGTCACACGGCAGCGGCTGGCTGTGTCATTAGCTCTGTCTTGGTGCATGTTGTTTTCAGTACATAATGGAAAAAATAGTTGGAGCTAGAAGTAAGATTATGTCATTTCAGCCAACAGATCCAGGCATTTCAGCAGGTGACATGGGGAATTTTGTGATGGAATTTATTGTACTTCCTCCTCTTTTAACATTGCTGATTCAGCATTGCTTTCTGAAGTGACTTAGAGGCTGGTGCAACCTGACAGTTCAAAGGCATGGAGAAGTGAAAATATGTCTTTCCAATGGCAAAAGTAGTCAGACTGCCACATTTACTTGGGCATTATTCTGGACCACAGAATGAAGACTGAACCATGTTGAACCTGCTTCAAAGCACTTTGTGTGGGAACGAAAGACTCCAGACCCACGAAGCTCAGTATTCTTGGTTAGCGTCTCTGTGAGGACTACACCTCTCAGAAGTAGCACCATATTGTGATGCCTGGCAAATGAACTGAAGGTTTTCTCTCATCTGTGGCTCTGAAGAATCATTGTTTGATCCCTTGGAGCTTGGAGAATATTTTGAGCTCCATATCAGGATGCATTTGCTCATTTAGTGTTACTGGACTAAGGATTAAAACATCCATAAATATGATGGATAAAGAAAATAGGGCCCAGTGCTGTGCATAGTTGGCTAAGCCTCTGTCTGTGGCGCCAGCATCGCTTATGGCACTGGTTGGAGTCCCAGCTGCTCCACTTCTGATCCAGCTCTGCATTATGGCCTGAGAAAGTGGTGGAAGATGGCCCAAGTCTTTGAGCCCTTGCACCACCATGGGAGACCCGGAAGAAGCTCCTAGCTCCTAGCTTTGGAGCAGGCTAGCTCCAGCCATTCTGGGGAGTGAACCAGCAGATAGAAGCCCTTTCTCTCTTTCCATATCTCTGTCTGTTAACTCTGCCTCTGAAATAAATTTTGAAAAAAGGAAGGAAAAAGAAAGAAAACAAAATACCTGAGCCTAATTAGCTTCAAAATGAATAAATAAGGAGATGGAACCTTTGCTTTCTTTTTCAGTGCCCGAGTGAAGGCTGGAGAAAGTGTCCTGGTTCATGGGGCTAGTGGAGGAGTAAGTATCTTTTTTTTTTTTCTTGCTTGCTTATTTTTAAATGAGCTTGTATTTCTGAGTTTCACCTTATAATTCTTTAAGTCATCTTTAAAAGGCAAATTTATAAAAAGAGTCAAGGGTGCTTTTTTTTCCCCCTTTGTGTAGTGAATCTTTTTAAGAACATTCTTCAGAAGGTGATTCTTTGTCATTATTTAGCATTTCTTGGTTAATAAATGCAACAGACCATCCCATCAAAAGATATATGTATTGGTTTGTCTACCTCAGTTGGCTGTGGACCAAGATAATCTGCCTTGTTTTTGCCTTCAAGTGGTACATGTTACAAGAATATTTATTTAGAATTTTAAACAGTTCTAAAGGTTAATAGTAATTCCGTATTCCCTTAGATAAGGAAACTAAAGCTCATTAAAGCTTTACCTGTGTTGCTGTCGACAGCAGCACACTGCAAAGCTACACTGTGAATTCGTAGTCCTTTCTATCTCCCTTCGCCTGTTTGCCTGCTGCGCTTTGATGACATTCATGGAGTGCACAGTATACAGCTGTGTCCTTAACGCCACAACCCATGGCTTAAAATGCTAATGTCAGGGAGTGAGGGGAGGGCTCAGGCTTATAAAATGAGCCCTTTGCCGAAATCACCCAACGGCAGGCCTGTCAGAAACCTCTTCAAGAAACTGGCTGCCAATCTGCCTCTGAGGAGCTTAGAGGGAAAGTTACAGCTCTGAGGTTGGAATTTAACAAGAAATCCACATGACCTCTATGCTGCATATAGAGGCTTTAGAAATTTTGGAGACGAGATTTCACATTTTTAAAATAAAGGGCCTGGGGCTGGATGGGTCACCTGGAGGAAACTGGTTAACCCTTTTAGAGCACTGTGTATTCTGACGAGTAGATTGAAAGAAATGGACTATTAAATGGTACATTGTCCATTGAATAGTGAGTATTACCCTGAAAATGTGAATTTACCTCTGAAAGTGGCCAGGCAATACAGCCAATTCAGTCCAGCATCTCTCTCTCTGTTCCTTTGGATAGATGAATCACAAGATTTCACACCTGACTTCCTTTGGATCTCAAATAGATCAATTTTGAAGGGTTTCACACATCAGACTATTTGCTAAAAAAGATCAAGATTTGTTTTCTTGAGACTTGAGAACATATGACAAATACACTTTGTCCAAAACACCCATTGTTTAGCCTCACCAAAGAAAGTGTTTTTGGTTGAAACTTCATGTTAAATAACTGAAGATCTGTCAAATACATGCATTTATTTAAATTGCTCTGGCTTTCAGCTGACTAGCCTTGTTTTCTGTATAAAAGAGAAAGATTTCAGTAGGAAGGAAACAGTTGAAAGAAAATCCTTTTTTATTCCCCGTTACCTTCTTGTAAAAAGCCCAGTCACTTCAACATCATCTTTTTTTTTTTTTTTTATAAAGGTAAAATCCACACTGTTCTCTGAGCTGGCTGCATTTGTTAAATCCGTGGTTGGCAGGGATAGGCTGGCGACCTGGTGTGTGGAGTGCTTCTGATCCTCCCTAGCCTATCAGAGGAAAACAGAGTGTTGGGTTTTGCCTTGCTTTCTGTTTGTGCTTTCTGTCCTCATTTAATTCAAATTCCTTTGGGATTATGTTGTATGTTTAAAGTGATGTGGAATTTACGAACAGAGCTATTATCTAGATATGTTGGTAGGGAGTGCCCTATTTTTGGTGTTAGCAAAATAAGTAGGAAAAAAATAGTTACCACATAATGTTACAAAATCTATTGAAAGAAGATTGCTGTTTTACATGTTGACAAGAGTAGAATAAATATTGCCTTTGAAAGAGCCATGGAGTGCCCCTTTGAGGCAATTAGAGCATAAGGGGATATGTTTATATTAAATCTTTAGTTTGAAATGTGCTTTTTATTAAATGTCTATTACTCTTTCTTAATTGGAGATTTAGGTAGCAAAAGTCAGGTGTGCTGACCCCATGGTGCACTGTGTTTCATCAAATTATGTCTCTCTCCTTTGTCAGACAGTGAGTTAGTTCTGTATTTACTTGTTTTGTTAAACAAATCCCTGCCTAACCCTATTGAGTTCAGGCTCATCACTCTGTGCCAACAATCTATAAGGTCCATTTTGAGCCTAGGAGTCTGTAACTCTGTTACAACCTTAATTAATCCCTATCATCATCTTACATTTTAATCTTTTCTGTCCTGCCCAAACCAATCCTTCCTCTAAATCAGTGGTTGTTAGTAGGGGGTGATGTTGCATCATACACCCTCTCCCCAAAGAGCATTTGGAAATGTCTGTAGAGACATTTTTACTTGTCACAGTTAGGGAAAGGGGTTCTGTCATCTGGTGGGTAGAAGCCAGCAACGCTGTCAAACATCCTTCAGTGTGCAGGCAGGTCCTCAACAGCAAAGAATTATCTGGCCCAAAGTGTCAGCAGTGCCCGGTTTGAGAAACTCAGCTCTAAACCTGTGTGGCAGTCATCTGTACCATTTGTTTAGCATGGAATCAGACTTGTATTTCCTAGGATGTTATTATTTGAATAATTGATTTTTTATGTCTGTTCCCAAATGGTGTTCATTTCTCTTTTGTACCAAGCACATTTATCTGGCTTTTTTAGTGATTTCTTCCAATCCCATGGCTTTAAATGCCATCTGTAAGATAAGGAGTCGCAAATTCATATCTTGTACTCCGAACTTCATTGACTCCGTGCCCATGTGTGACTGATTACTGAACATTGTCACTTTGGAAAGCACTATGGAGCTCAGCGGATTCACCATGTATTCTTAAGGCTTTCACACCTTTAGAAACCATCCAGTGAATCTACCCTGTTAACCTGACCAGAGATGTAAGGAGACAACTTGATTTTTCCTCTTTTCTTCACCTGCCACATTCAGCCCATGAAGAAGTCTCATCAGCTGACCTCAAAATCATATCTGAATCTCTTTTTAATCTTCCTAGGGCCACCACCTTACTCCAAGCCAGCTTTGTCTCCACCTAGACCGTTACACTTGCTACAAATTCGTTTTCCTGCTCACATTGGCCTCCTCCCCCAACTTACTTGTATCTCACCTGTAGTTAGTGTGACTTTTACCCCTGTCTAAGCCCTCCAGTAGTCCTCCAATGGTTGTGCATAGCTGTTAATATAATTCAAAGCCTTTATCTTTACCTTGGAGTCCTTACATGACTTGGCCTGTCTACTTCTCCGGCCTCATCTTCTCCTTGCATGTACTCTGTCCCTGAGCCACACTGACCCTCTTTCTGCCTTTCTGACACCCAAAGTACATTCCCCCTTCATCAGCTTAGCCATGGCCATTCCCTCTGCCTAAAGCAACCTCGCGTGGCTGCCCAGACACTCCCGTGACTTACTGTTCACTTCCTTCAGGCCCCATTTCTTCAGAGCATCCGGTTCTGATGACCTCAATAGCCCCTTTCTTTGTATTTTTGTAACCCAAGAGCTGTTTTTATTTTTTTCTTAGCACTTAGTATTTTCTGAGTTTATTTTATTCATTTATTTATTCATATGTTGATTATCTTTTCCCTCCTTACTATGTAAATTTCATCCATTAAGTACCGCATCTAACATATAGTAAATAGTAAGTATGCAGCAAATGGATGAATTAATTAATTTGCCCACATCCCCCCATCTCTGATGGAGGCCTTACATTTGTTATTGAATATCTTATTTCAGTATTTGTTATTTAGTATTTTCCTATGGTAGAGGGCTTATATATGTACTTCTATTTTAATTAAAGCTTAAAGTTAGTATTTTTTTTAAACTTTTTATCTTCTGCCTAAAGCAGGTAAGTATGCAAATGTTTCGATGTATTGGTTTAAAGTCTTAATTTCTACAGTCTGATTTGCTCTGGCTCCTATTTCTGCCTCTGTGTGTGAATAGTACAAGTTACTGGTACTGTGAAGCTTCAGCCTTCAGAGTAGAGACAATAACAGTACCTACTTCATAGCGTCATTGTGAGGATGAAATAAAAGCAGTGTGTAGGAACTGTTTAGAATGGTACCTGGAACGTTATATGGGCTTAATAAATGTTAACCATTTTTCATATTTCTTCATTTACAACCTTCTGGATAAGATAAGCCTTAGAAGAGTCTCTATGTTCATTACATATATGTGTACATATGTTTATTACATATATTTAATAAGTGTTTTCAGGAATTAAGAGAGTGTGTAACTATTGGATTATATTTTCATTTTCAGGTTGGATTAGCAGCATGCCAGATTGCTAGAGCTCATGGCTTAAAGGTTTTGGGCACAGCCAGTACTGAGGAGGGACAGAAGATTGTTTTGCAGAATGGAGCCCATGAAGTGTTTAATCACAAAGAAGTGAATTACATTGATAAAATTAAGGTAAAATTTTTATAATTTTACTGAAGTCAAGCTTGTTATTTGGAGACTTACATGATTTGTTATAAATTCTTTTACCAATCACTCTTTTGAGATTGTTTTTTTTCATCTATATGTGTTTTCACACTAGTGAGCTTCTTAAAGCTTTAATTACTTTACAAAACAGAGTTGTTTAATTTTTAAAATTCCACTACCATTTTTGTCTTATGCGTATTACATAAAATATTGCCTTTATAGAATCTTACAGCAATAAAATTCAGTACCCTGTATTACAAATCACATTTTAGGTAAAGTTGTAGCTTTGTGTTTACAACTGTGAGGTGTTAATATAATTTCTAATGATGTGAATTTTCTATGCTTGGTGTGTTATCCATGGACGACAAGCTGGATAAGATTTATTTGTTAACTGGATGCTGTGGAAGAGTAAACACTATTGTGTCCAAAGTGGTAGGGTAGAGTTTAGTTAGTTGTTGCCTATTACAGAATTCAAGCAGAGTGTGAAATTCCCTATTTGTTCTGTAGCAGGGATTTACCCAATACTGATTGCTTTGCCAAACCTCAAACCACTTCCTCCTATTAGCATTAGAATTTCCCAGGTATTGGGGCCAGCATGGTGGCATAGCAGGTAAAGCCATGGCCTGCAGTGCCTGCATCCCATATGGGTGCCCATTCAAGTCCTGGCTGCTCCACTTCCAGTCCAGTTCTCTGCTATGGCCTGGGAAAGCAGTAGAAGATGGCCCAAGTCCTTGGGCCCTGCACCCACATGGGAGACCCAGTGGAGGCTCCTGACTCCTCGCTTCGGATTGGCATGGCTCTGGCTGTTGAGGCCAACTGAGGAGTGAACCAGCAGGAAGAAGGCCTCTCTCTCTCTGTCTCTCCTACTCTCTCTGTGTAACTCTGATTTTCAAGTAAATAAATAAATCATAAAAAAAAAAAAAGAATTTCCCAGATATTGAATTCTTGGTAAACTAGCTCATTATAAACTGAGGGAAAATATGAGTCAGCATATATTACCACTGAGTGATCATGCCAAAAAACAGAGCAAAGGCACTCCTTTGTCATATGTCCGGGAAACCTGGGATTCAGTACTTACCTCTGATACCATTACCCAAGAATGTTTACAGCCGGCACCGTGGCTCAATAGGTTAATCCTCTTGTGGCGCCAGCACACCGGGTTCTAGTGCCAGTCAGGGTGCCGGGTTCTGTCCCGGTTGCCTCTCTACTAGTTCAGCTCTCTGCTGTGGCCCCAGAGTGCAGTGGAGGATGGCCCAAGTGCTTGGGCCCTGCATCCTCATGGAGACCAGGAGGAGGCACCTGGCTCCTGGTTTCGGATCAGTGCGGTGCGCCAGCCACAGCGCACTGGCCACAGCATCCATTGGAGGATGAACCAACGGCAAAGGAAGACCTTTCTCTCTGTCTCTCACTGTCCACTCTGCCTGTCAAAAATAAAAAAAAAGAGTGTTTACAAAGATTAAAAAAATACCAAGTATTTTAAGAATATAGTTTTTGTTTGGCAATAATGCTCTTGTGGCTTCCATCTCTTCCACTGATTTCTTATGCTTAAGTATCTCTAATTCGCAAAAACTATCTCTTAGCCTTTTCTCTCAACCCTTTTCTCTCTCCTTTGTACCATCACCGGACTTCTTGAAAACATCATAAATACTTACTGCTTTTACTTCCTTAACTCTCATCACCTCCCATTGCAGTTTTTGTGCATCCCAACCACGTAAACTGCTTCACAGAGGTCACTGATAAGCCCCCTAACTGTCAGTCTATGGTCACGACTCTATCATCCTCTTATTTGATGTTTCAGGAGCATAGGACTGTGACCATATTGCCTCGAAACTCTTTCTCTTCTTTCCTCACTCTCTACCAGTCTTCTTCCTCTTCATAATACTATTTAACCATTAGTGCTTCCTAGAGTTTTTTGCCTCTGGTTCCTCATCTTCCCTGGCGCTAGACTTTCACCACAATCACCGTCATATTCCCATGGCTTTACTTATTACTGTGTGCTATTAGTTTCCAAAACAGACTCTGGCCAGAGTTCCATTCCTTCATGCCATCAGTCTGATAGACTTTCCTATTCATCAGGTCACTCTAGGGAGGAGCCTTAATTTCATTTTTTAAAAAGATTTATTGATTTGAAAGGTAGAGAGGCAAAGCAAGAGAGAGAGAGAAAAAAAAAGTGACAGAGAGAGAGAGAGATCGATCTATTTTCCATTCACTGGTTCACTCCACAAATGGCCACAACAGTCAGCTCTCAGGCCAAAACCAGGAGCCAAAAAGAACATCTGGTCTCCCATGTGGGTAGCAGTTGAATCATCCTCCACTGCCTTCCCAGGCACATTAGCAAGGAGCTAGATTGGACATGGTATAGCTGGGACTTGAATTGGCACTCAGAGTGCTTAACCCATTGCACCATAACACTGGCTGCCTCATTTCATTTTTTATTCTAATCATTTAATAATTATCCCATCAAGCTGGTTACGTCATTCTATCAGTTTTATTTCTTTCTTTTTTTTCTTTTTTTTTTTTTTTTTTTTTTTTTGACAGGCAGAGTTAGACAGTGAGAGAGAGAGAGAGACAGAGAGAAAGGTCTTCCTTTTCCATTGTTTCACCCCCCAATGGCTGCTGTGGCTGGCGCATTGCCGCCAGCACGCTGCACCAATCCGAAGCCAGGAGCCAGGTGCTTCTCCTGGTCTCCCATGTGGTGCAGGGTCCCAGGACTTGGGCCATCCTCCATTGCACTCCTGGGCCCAGCAGAGAGCTGGACTGGGCCATTGGAGGGTGAACCAACGGCAAAAGGAAGACCTTTCTCTCTGTCTCTCTCTCTCACTATCCACTCTGCCTGTCAAAAAAAAAAAAAAAAAAAAGAGAGAGAGAGAGCTGGACTGGAAGAGGAGCAACTGGAACAGAATCTGGCACCCCAACCGGGACTAGAACCCAGGGTGCCAGTGCCGCAGGCGGAGGATTAGCCTAGTGAGCCACGGCACCGGCCTATCAGTTTCATTTCTGACATGTTATTCAATAGCTTTTTCTTTATTATTCTCACCACTGTGACTAAGTGTAAACCTTAGGTTCTCTAGCTTTATTATCCCAAATTGAGCTAGTATCACTCACTTTTTATCTTTCCTGTAGACAAATTTCAAAGTTGTGTTTTCCCTTTTTCAAAAAAAAAACTCCAGAAATTACTAAAATGGAAATTAAGTGAGGAGAGGATTTTTTTTTGTCTCTCATTCCCTACTTTATTGTTAAAATACGTAGAAGTACATATAGCTTTCTTAAAGAGCCAGGTTTAGATGTTGGGAAATAACATCTGAGATCCCTAAAGAGAAGAACCAGTGTGTCAAGAAGATTATAAACCATGTAGAATAAAACTGAATACACACACACAAAAAATTCTACAACACCAAACAGTCAATACTTTTTCTTTTCTTTTTAATAAAAATGGGAGCCTTCTGGGGATTTTGGATTTTTGATTTGTTGTTTATTTCTCTGTGAAAGTTCATTTTGAAGATAGAAAATTTTCACCTAAGGAAAGAATATTCAAATTGAGTCTAGCACCTGAAAACCCCTGGCAAACTTTATTTCATTATGGCAGTTTATTTTATACAGATTTTTATCATTGTGGACTTTGTAGCTGGTACCTCAGAATTTACATCACATTATGTTAGATCATTTTAAAATTTGCATTGTTAGTCTTAAAAGTAGCATTTTGTATGTCATTTGAAATACGTTTCTGTAAAATATGATACTGTCATAGCTGTTTGACAGTTTTCATATGTTGCCTTACTCTGTACTCTTTTTTTATCATGTAGAAATCTGTTGGTGAGAAAGGAGTCAATGTGATTATTGAAATGTTAGCTAATGTGAATCTTAGTAATGATTTGAAACTTCTGTCGCGTGGAGGACGAGTAATAGTAAGTTTTTTCTTTTTGCCACTTAAAAGTTTTGCCACAGTTTATTGCTGTTTCTCAGTGTTCTTTAACTACAGACCTGCTATTTTTCCTAAGATTGTTGGAAGCAGAGGTCCTATTGAAATAACCCCACGGGACATCATGCCAAAGGAGTCTAGTATAATTGGAGTCAGTCTGTATTCCTCGACTAAGGTAAGAGAAGAAGTGATTTTAATTTTGGTAATGTAAACATTGAAACATTTTGCCTAGTCAGGCAGACCAGAAATTGAAGTAGATGTTGTAGGGGCCAGTGTTGTGGCACAATGAGCTAGTAAGCAGTGCCTCCACCACCAGTGTCCCATATTAGAGTGCCGGCTTGGGTCCTGGCTACTCCACTTCTGATCTGCTTCCTGTTGCTGAACCTGGGAAAGCATGGAAGATGGCCCGAGTGCTTAGCCCTTGCTGCCCATGCTGGAGATCCAGATGGAGGAGCTCCAGGCTCCAGCTTCAGCCTGGAGCAGTCCTGGCCATGGAGGCCATTTGGGGAGTGAACCAGCAGATGGAAGATTTTCTCTCTTTCTCTCTCTCTCTCTTATCCCTCCCCCTCCCCCCCGCCGTTACTGTGCCTTCTAAATATTCCAAATAAATAAATAAATAAATATTTTAAAAAGGTCCATGTTATAGCTAGTACTTGACAACAGGAGTGGGTGAATGATAGAGCAACAATACAATTTACTATCCATTTCCAAGTCAGAACACTTTTATAAAAGAAGAAATATTCTATTAGTTATACTTTTTTTTTTTTTTTTTTTTGTCAGGTAGAATTATAGACAGTGAGAGAGAGAGAGAGACAGAGAGAAAGGTCTTCCTTCCGTTGGTTCACCCCCTAAATGGCTGCTACGGCAGGAGCTGCGCCAATCCGAAGCCAAGAGCCAGGTGCTTCTCCTGGTCTCCCATGGGGTGCAGGGCCCAAGCACTTGGGCCATCCTCCACTGCCTTCCTGGGCCACAGCAGAGAGCTGGACTGGAAGAGGGGCAGCCAGGATTAGAACCTGGTGCCCATATGGGATGCCAGTGCTGCAGGCAGAGGATTAACCAAGTGAGCCACGGCGCCGCCAGCTCCCTATTAGTTATACTTTAAACATAATTACATCTAAACTAACACTGTCCAGGCAAATGGGACTCATGGCTACCCTACTGAGTACAGCATTTCCTGCAGTTCTAGACAAGTAGGAAAAAGCTACATGTTTCTAAGAGAAACTTTGTGGTTTAACTCTTAGATTCTGAAGTTTTTAATAGTTCTGAAAATTAAGTCATAATTTTTTTCCTACCTTAGGAGGAATTTCAGCAGTTTGCAGCAGCTCTGCAAGCCGGAATAGAAATTGGATGGTTGAAACCTGTAATAGGTTCTCAGTATCCACTGGACAAAGCAGCACAGGCTCACGAAAATATCATTCATAATACTGGGACTACTGGAAAAATGATTCTCCTCTTGTGATGATTTATTCTTCCATGAATTTCCTATGTAGTTAGCAGCTTTCTTTCCCCTACTTTTATTCACACTATCTTTTCTTTCGTTAACACTCATTTTATTCAGTGCATTTCTTATATGAGAAAGTGAATTTCTTGAACATGATATTTCTTTATTGAGCAGAGGCAGTGCAATAAAATTACTTTATAATTCACAATATTTTGTAATGCCATCTATCCTGAATTGAGGAATCATCATTGTAGGAGATAGCATGTTAGTAGTCATTTGGCATTGGAGTGTTCTCTAGAAATTTTTAACTGATCCTTGATTAATTCCAAATTTTTGACTAAAACATGCTAATTCAAGGTAAGACTGCTTGATTTTCCAGAATAACTAGATGTGATTTCAGGCCTCCTTATCTTTATAAAGGTTCTTTAGTTGCTGATTAGCCCATAATCGGCTCTGATGATTTTCTGGACTGAAAAAAAAAATCTTTTTTTCAAAATATTCTTACCTGGATCTCTAAGTCTCATCCAAGGACAGGGATATACAATGTCTGGACAAGTTGATTGGTTTTTCAACTGCTACCCCAAATATTGGAATATTCACTGTATTATTGGTTGGTTGCCAATGACTCACCTGTTCCTAAAGGATAGCATACTCATGCAGTACTAGGTATACAGTCCCCAACTAGACTCTTATTGTTTGATTACATTTTCAGAGTAGATTTAGAGTTATCTTTGCATGATGGGAATCATATGTTTTTATTTAATTAATAAGTTTACAACTTTGACACATTAAGAATGTGGCTGGTCCTGGTGCACAGTATGAACCCAGATTTACCTCTCTCTCTCTCATAGATAAAGCTCTCACTCTTCCATGATTTCTCTCACTAAATAAAAGCCTAAATGTTAAAAAAAAAAAAAAGAATGACCTTTTGTGTTTATAACATGGTAATTCCCAATAAATTCAATAGAAAATTAAAACTTGTGTTCACCTGTGTATAGAACTTATATCTCTTCTGCATAGTTCCTTATCATTACTTCCTAATATTTTTCTATGCTAAGAAACTAAACCAAATAAATGAATGATCTCTTAGAAATTTTGCCATCAATATTATATCCAACAATTTAAGGTTTGGTTGTTATTTTTTTTGTTTTCCTTTATATAAACCCATCCTCCTGTTTCATTAAATTCTAGGGTTGATTGACCTGACCTGCCTCATTGTGTTGAAAGACAAGTTCTGCTTTTAACGTGGAATGCTGCTTCAGTAGTGAGCAGAAAGCACTGTTAATTTCTATCATAGAAATTAGTCTTTTTGCTATTATCATTTTCCAAGTTGATTTGCTGTTTTTTAACATGTTAACTATCCCATAAAATGACATTTTTGGAAAGTATTTAGAAAAAAAGTGTTGAGGTAGGCCTTGTGGTGTGGTGGTTAAAGCAGCCGCTTAGGATGCCTGCGTCCCCTATTAGAGTACCTGGGATCAAGTCCTACTTCTGCCACCATTCTGGCCTCCCACTAATGCCTCTGGGAGGCAAGAGATTGTGGTCCGAGTTCTTCAGTTCCTGCCACCCACCTGGGAGCCTCAGATGGAGTTCCTAGCTCCTGGATTCAGCTGGGCACAGTCCCAACTGTTGCAGGCATTTGAGGAGTGAACCCAGTGAATGGAAGATCTGTGTGTGTGTGTGTGTGTGTGTGTGTGTGTCACTTTGCCTTTCAAATAAGTAATAAATAAATAAATAACATTTAAAAGTTGTATCCTCGTTCTATGGCTAGCATTTTAAGTGCATCTTAAATTGGAGGATCACTTCCCATCAAAAAAAGATAAAGGAATAATTATTCTGTAAGTCAGTAACATCTGTTTGCATCTTTGCCTTCTATGGAGTTTTAGCACTCTGTAATCCATTGTTGCAATTCAGTTTTCAAAGGTAAAACTATGCAAGAGTTATGCATGAACTACCATATTTGTAATTATGTAACACTGGGCATTTTTCATGCAGAGATATCCTTGTAATTCTAATTCTAATTTTTGTCCCAACTTTCAGCCACCCACATTTACTACTTGATAGATGGCAGTAGCCGTAGGGCTACTACACAGTCACTTGTGTCTGCCTGTGACCTAAAATGAAAAATAACCTGTAAATAAACAAGCATTATTTCATGTTTTAGCCTTCTGAGTTTTTCTCCTATGTGCTTTCACCTGTGTGGCCTAGAATTGCTCCATATGGGCTCTGGGTAGAATATGGCTTTTCCCCACAAAAACCCATGTTGAGGTTAATTCCTCAGTGAAGCAATGTTGGGAGGTAAGCTTTCTCAGAAGGATTCATGTCTTTCTCGTGGAACTGGATTTGTTCTCACAGGAATGCACTCGTGAGACTGGGTGTTTGGAAGCAGGTCAACTCCTGCCCCCTCTATTTCCATGTACTCCTTTGTGCCTGTACTTCTCTGCCATACATGGAGAGCATGCAACACTCACCAGAAGCCAAGGGGATGCTGATTCCATGCTCCTGAACTTCCAGAACTGTGAACCCAAATAACCAATCCCAAGTATTCTTTATAGCAACAGAAAATGGGCTAAGACAACGTGTTAGAGATCAAGTTGATCGCCCACCCTCAACCCAAAAGGGTAAAACTACCAGAGGTCACATTTTTTCAGAAAAGTAAATATCGTTTTAACTGAGGCTTTTTTTTTAAGTAAGTTATTGATTAAAGCCACAAACTTGCTGTGCCTCTGGCCTCTGTAGGAGTTGAGCTGCCTGCTGTCCAGCTTCATTTTGCCTGGAATTCTTAGTTCCTGACCCTATGGATCATCCTTGCCTGGGTTGTCACTTATCTCCTGACTTGACAGTCTTTTATGAAGAGGATGTTCTATTCATCCATTACTTCAAGAAATGTGTATTGAGTACTGAAAGTCTGAGAAGACACCCTGCTGGAATTTGAGGATACAAAGAGATGTAAGACATAGTCCACATCATCGAGTTTATAGTAGACAGAGGCAAGAGTCAAGTAACCATTTTAGAGGATGAGGGAGTAGATCGACAGAGGTCTCCAGGGAAACAGAGCGTGCTGAAGACATTTATTTGAAGATCTCTGCTCATGCAGTTGTGGGCTACCGTGGGTAGAGATCTGTAGGGTAGCCTGGAAACAGGTAGCCTGTGTTTCCATTACAGACTTATTCTTTCTCTGGGGAACCTGTTTTGTGAGACTTTTAATTCACTAGATGAAGCTGGTTGGTATTTTTAAAAAATATTTTATTTGAAAGGCACAGTGACAGGAAAAGAAAGACCGATTTTTGATCTGCAGATTCACTCCTCAAATGGCCACAAAGGCTGAGGCTAGGCTAGGCCAAAGTCAGGAGCCTGGAACTCCATTCAGGTCTCCCATGTGGGTGGCTAGGACCCAAGCATTTAGCCCATAGCCTGCTGCCCTCCCTGTCAGATTAGCAAGGAGCTGGATCTGAAGCACAGTAGTTGGGCCCAAATAGATACTCTTAATACAGGTGCCACTGTCAGGTGGTGGCCTAGCCCATTGCGCCACAGTGCCAGCCCAAGGCCTTCGTTTTGAAGGGAACTATTTAAAGTCAACTGATAATGTGTAAACAAATAAAACATGGTTTTATACTGCCACATAAAATTCAGGGAGTGACATGGGGACATGGGAGGTGCAGTCAGCGTGGCCTGAGATTTTCAATTACACATTTAATCCTTGTACATATGTTAGCATTCTCCATTCACAGTAGCTTTAGCCATAGAGGTAAAAATGTAACTTGGGTGCTTCTGCAAGGAAAAAATCCAGCATTTTATAATGTACTTAACTCAGCTTTATTGAGGCAAGAAATTATATGGGAGCTAGAGCTTCCAGAATTTATAGCCTAAAGAGCCTTTTATTTTCTGAACAAGATGACTCCCAGAAACAGCAAAATCTATCAGGTCACTTTGTCATGGCCCTCTTGGTCTCCTCCAGCACAGCTCACAGAGAAAGACACCCCAGCTCAGTCCTTAATCACCTCTGCTGCTACTCACTTTTGTCCAGTGCTTTCAGAAAACGTTACTTTAAAAGTGACATATGACAATTGTATTCATCTATAGGACTCATATTGTGCGAATTTCTTAAATTTGAGGAGAGGAAATGTTGTATTACAGAAAGAAACCTGGCTTCACTTTGGTCTGTGTCAATGATCCAGAATAACAGATGGCAACAGTCTTTTATGTTCTTTTAGAATTGATCTAATGCAGATCCCCAAAACATTCGTGATACAGATGCTCACTGAACATATATGTAACAAACATAATCACAGGTTAGCAGGCCTTGCTTTATTCGTTCCCAATTTAATGTAAAAATACCCACAAAGACCAAAACAGTGCAAGAAACAAGAAGAGACCCTGTGCCAAAAGTGATTGGCAATTTTTAATTTCAGTGCCATTCAATGAACCAAAGTAGCTGGAAACTAGGTAGGAGAAAGCCTCAGCTCAAGTCACTGCCTCTAACTTGAGACACAAGAGCTGCGTTTCTTGAGAAAAGCAGAGTTAGGTCTATGCTCATCCCCACAATACCTTCAGCTGCCTGCTTCCACATGCATTGTAGAGACACCAGGTGCAGCTGCAGATTTAGGAGGCAGGGAACGTGGCCTCCATAGGTATGCAGTCATCACAGAGAAGGAACTGCAAGGCTGGAGAGTGGAGAATCCCTGGGCTGGAACAAATGCAGGAGAATGCACAGTACAACACTTGCACAAAGAGGGTCTGTCTCTAGCAGAGTCAAGTTACTTATTGCTGGAGCATATCTTAGTTCAGTAGGCACTGAGATTGACAAGTTATCTAAGAGGTCACCTCACCATTGGCACAGATTTGAAAAGAACTGAGCTCTTTTACAGGGAGTGAAGATGTGCGTGGGCATATGAAACTGATGGTATAGTTGTTGGGAACATGAGTTTTGGAAACAGATCTGCCTTTCAGTCTTCACTTTTTTCTGACCAACCATGGAATTCCAGGCAAATTACTTCATCATATGGAGCCCCAGTTTTCTCATATGGAATATTTTGGGGTGGGGCGAAGGGTAAGAGTTTAAAGAATCAAACAAGATAATGACTATATAATAAACTCTGTTTTGAACAATGAAGTGTTTAAATAAAGACTCTGTCATGTTAGCCTTAAGGAAAGCATAAACTGAAAGAAACGAGAGGAATGTAAAGAGAGTGTGCTAAAAACATGCAAAACAAGGGATCCCAAATGCAAATTACCATAGGAAGTGCAAATGAGCATAACTAATAGTACAGAAAACTTACACAATCATGTGGGTAAGTTTGACAACTTTCCAAAAATGTAGAGAAAAAAATGTAAAAAATATGATAGTACAACAAGCAAATGAAATTCAGCCTTATATTATAGAAGTGACCCCAAAAGAAAGCCTGAGAAAAATGAAAGAAGCAGTAAAACTTTTCTGAGCTAAAGAGCTGTTTATTCACTGATTCTGCTAATTATATCTGTGCAAAATTAATGAACATTAAGAGTAATAAGACTTTTAAAATTTTAAAATTTCACATAATTACATTAGAAACAGAGCATGTAGACAGGTCATTATTCAAAGCTATGTTCTTCAAAGCTAGAACATGCAAGGGAATACATGAAAAAAGTGTTAATGAGTTCAGAAATATGGCCAAATATGCAAAATTAATATAAATCCATAGTGATCAGTTAGAAATACAATGGAAAAAATATAATTCACAATTGCAATACTATTGCAATAATCAACTTAAAAAGCAGTAAAATCTAAATGACCGCATTACAAGAAATACACAGGACCTTTATGAAAAAAAATTATGAAACTCTCCTAAGGTAGGCAGCATGTGCACAGCATAGTAAGGCGCTTCCTCTGATGCTGGCATACCACACTGGAGCACCAGTTCAAGTCCCAGCTGCTCTGCTTCCTTTCAGATAAAAATAAGTAAGTAAATAAATAATAAATATATCTTTAAAGAAAGAG